AAGGAGAAGCAATCACTTAGCAAGGCACGATGGAAGACGGTGATATTGCACTTTTTCCATTTTAGAACAGAAGGGATGATCAGAGTGAGCTAGCTAGCGACAAAGGAGGAGACTGGCTCAGACAGATTTCCCCACATGGGTGTATTCTGAAACGCACTATTATAGCCTGTAAATAGCTTAGTGGGTGGCATTAATGAGGCGGCAGGGGGGATTATGGAGCAGCGAGCAGGGTGCAATCTAGGACTTACAGTTTAATTATGTGAGGATGCCTGAAAAGCTTGAGGTTCTGGATCTCCCTGCGGATCTTCCCCACCACGTCCAAACTGCGGATCTTCTGTCTGTTCAAGATCTTCACGGCCACTTGGTGCTTGGTCAGCTCATGTTGGCCAACTGCAGGACAGAAAGAAAGAAATGGTCATCAAGGCAAATCTCAAACCAGGGTTTATGCTGCCGTTCTAAAGCCTGGAATCACCTGTTGAGTCTGGCCCCAAAAGGAATAAGAAGTAAATTATTAAAGCGTATGTTTTGCTGAAGTCTCCAGTGTTACTTTTCACAGGAGATCGGTATATTCCATTTAGGGTTTTTCTTTTACTGGAGAAAAGCATTAGTAACTCAAGAACATGAACCACTGAAGTGTTTCAACTGGGCTTTAAATGTTTGGGTAGCAGTTTTTCTCTGAGTCTCGGACTAAAAAATCTTTACCTCAGTGCATCGCACAGCATTTTGTTCTCCATTAACAGCACAAGAACTCTTCATACTAAATAACACCTAGCCTCCCTGTAAACAATTAACAAACACGTCATTTTCTGAACTTATTTAGCTCTATAACAAGAACATCACGAACCATTAACACATTTTAAAGACAAACTAAGCAGTTTAGACAATACCTTGCGAAAACCCATAAAAGGTTTTAATCTCATCCCAAACATGACGCCCATTAGTGTAAATAAAGAAAACCAACTGTACGGGTGGCTGAAAGGGGGGGGGGGAGACTTGGGAAATAGCTGCTATTGATTTACCGGTTGATGGTTGTCTAGTGAACTATGAACAGAGACTATCATCACAGCAAAGATTTTTTACAAAAGCAACAAAAACGTGCAGAGGAACCGGGAACTCTGCGTAGAGAGCATGTTGTTGTTCAGAGCGCTTTTTTTGGGAGGGTGCCAAATGGATTTACTTTATTTGGGTACGTTCGGGCTCGAGCCGCTTTTAATAACGCACTGCGCGGTAAAACAGAGAGAGAGAGAGACGCCTGCAGGCAAAGGCACAGCTCCGATGGAAATACGAGGGAATACACAGGAACGTTTTCCATACGATCCATACGTGTTGATACTACTGCTATTCCGACCGCCTCGACAAAACTGGGCGTCGATTCGGACGGGTTCGCGCCCGCGCCCCCCTCTGCTCCTTTCCCCACACACCTCCAATAACGGTCTCCTCGATGGAACGGAAGACTGCACCCACAAGAAGCACCGGGCTGAAGCACAGCTGTAGACGGGGGAGCCTGAGCTCCGGTCAAGACGGGGTTTACTTCCCGGTGTCGGTCTTGACAAGCGACTTGTGGCTTTTCGGGCTAACTTAGTTAGCTCAAAACGCAACAGTCAAAACGGGCGGTGGATGTGGCGAAACGGAAGTTCACATCAAATAACTTTAGCATTGCGTGGCGGTCGTCGGTATCTTTCCAAAAACACGTCCGGCCCGTCAGAAACAAGTTGCGCTAACTGGCAGGACGTGGGGACAAGTGTGCTAGCTGCCTAACTGACGTTGCGACAACTTTAGCCTACATAGCATGCTAACTTAGCAGCTTTAGCTTGAAGCTCCCATTAGCCACCATATTTCAGTTGGCAGGATGCGCAGACGTCAAGACGGTCGGACGTACCTTTAACCTTTCCAAACGTGCCCACGCCGAGTGTATCTCCGAGAATGTAATGTCCAATCTTAACTCTTCCTTCATTTTTCTGTTTTTCCGTCGCCATCTTCCCGCAGTGGCCTTGCTGCGGGGTTAGCTAGCTGCGAGCAGAGATGGACCGAACTCCGCTGTGTGCGTCCCTACTCAAGCCACTCCGCTCCGCACGGCGAGGGGGAGGAGCTTACGCACGGAGTTGGGGGAGGAGCCCCGGCTACTGCGCGATTCATTGGGAGCGTAGGCGACGTAGAATGTTGCGTTCAAGGTTTCCAGTAAACTCCCATATTAGGGTGTGATTTTCAACGTTACGTGAAATAAACTTGTTTGTGCATGGAACACACACACACACACACACACACACACACACACACACGCACACACACACACACACACACACACACACACACACACACACACACACAGACGCATAAGTAGATTTATAGGGCTATTGTGAAATCGAGGTCAGAGTGCATAGAAAGGCAATGTTAATGCACACATGCGCAGATTAATAAGAAAGGAAAGGTCAGACGAAACGGTTGCCTGGTGAGATTTGTGAAACAGAATCTCAGTAACATGCATCAAAATGTAACATTAATTATTTACAGAAATAGCAAAAGCTCACTATGGATCGACTCAGCCGTAGACAAACATTTGTATGTGTTGTTCTGACTGATATACACGGCCTTCGTCTCAGCCAGAAGATATGAAATGAGATAATAGCTAAAATAGGTAGTTACAAGCCTAGACAGGTCCCGTCCAACATTTAATTTAATAATAATGTAACAGTATTACGTGTAACTCGTGTTTCTGTCTCCACCTGGCTACTATTTATCTGTTCTAATTATTACATTCAATAAATCAAAATTAAAAACTGAAACCAAATAACTTCTCACTGCTGTTTTTGTTCAGTGTTAGTTGGGCTTGATTTTCAGACATTGCTGTGTAGTCTCATCGATGCCTCTTTGAGGCCACTTATACTGTATTTCATGACCTGGAAGGCTGAGAATGAGACGCGTTGAGAATAACAATGAGTTTGTCAGGATGTGAATAAATGCTTAGTGACAGTGATGCATGAGTAAACACCATCAGAGCATCCAGAAGCACAGTGAAGCACTAATCAGTATTGCCCTTGAAAGTATATCCCAAATCATTTAAAATATCTTATTTTTCTTTTTCAAACAAACGCAAAGGCTAAATAAATACAGGTTTCCCTCTCTCAGTGATTATCAAAAGAATGGCCTAGTAAATAGTTACCGTGACTCCTCAGAGAAGTCTGCTAGGAATGTGTGTGTGCTGGGATCTCTATTTAGGTTTTGAGATTTTTTAAAATGCAGATTAGATTAAACGCTTTTTTCATTCTGTGCACCCATTATTTTATGTCACAATATACCCCATAAACATCAATGTGGTAAATCGCATGCAGCCAATTGTGGTTAGCATTCCTGTTTTTTATCTTTCAGGGGAGGATTTGAGAAGTGAGAAGTGAAGGCCACCAAGTATCTAAATGTGTTTCAGAGCACTAATCAGAAACCTACAGACCTAATCAGCCAAAGTTTGCTCAGTGGCGACACCTTGTGGTAGTTTGTCAGCCTCACAGGTTTATTTATTCGTTATACATTTAGGTTAAAGAAGAAGGTCCAAGTCAAATGTGGCGTTTCAGTTCATCAGAATCCGAAACATTTATTTGCCAGGTATGTTGGACATACAAGGAAATTGTCACGGCGGGTGGAGCATACATGGAACAAATAATGTACAAATAAATTAACAATAGAATATTAAAGGCTATAAAATAAGGTAAACAATACAAAATAAAAAAAAATGAAGTGCACAAGCAAATACAGGCAATACTATTGAAAGTGTCCAAAGGTGTTCATGTGGGTAATCCTTCAAGACATTGTGGCAAATTATACAGAAAAAAGACACAACCACTTCACTAACACTTCATAACAAAAATGAGTACAATGAGAGAAGCCAAATCAACAAACTATATTTTATATATATATATATATATATATATATATATATATGTATATGTATATATATATATATATATATATATATATATACACACACACATTTGAGACAATACAAATCTATCATGTGACGGTGGCATCACCAATCAGGTGGAATCAGCTTGTAGTGTTATCACCTGTAATACAGTGCGATATCTTAATACTTAACCATTTGCTTAGATGCATATAAATACTGTATGCGTGTACTTTTATGTTGAGTATTGATAACGATCGTAATGGAGCAGGCTTTAATCATGATCAGTGTATCACCAACCAAACATCTCACTCGTGTCTTCCATAGGTCGACCAGCAGGGGGCAGTAAATCTTCGAGAGAGGACCGGTCCTTAAATCACTGCAGGAATTCCTTAATTCAACGTCAGTTCACACCATTAATCACCATCGATACAGAATGATCCACGTCTACAATACTTGACTTATCAAATCAAGGTCAATTAAAACAATTGAGTATGTGACAAGAATGAGTTTTGTGTGTCCTGAAGCAGACAAAACTGCTCCTAAAGAAACCCGTTTGTGGCCATGAAACAACTTTCAACTTACATTTGAGATGCTACAACGCAAAAGAAACACATCAAAAGTTGACAAATCAACGGGATGATGCCGACTGTAGGAAACCCATCAACGAAACGGGACGTGAGATTGGCCCCGGGGCCCGTGTCATCATCACTAGCTGGAAGTTGTATTTTTCTTTTCAATAGAACCAAACAGTCCAACCATAATTTATTCCACTAAGCCTGTATACACTGTTATGTTACACGGCAGCAGTGAGAATGAGATTTACTCAACTGGGATGATCACAGCGATTAAATTGATCAGCACCGACAGCCAAACACGCGTTGTGATCTTTTACGACAAATCGATTCCTCAACAAAAACTCCCCGGACTTGATTGACAGCCAATGTTTGACCGTAGAGTCAAAGCCATTATAAATGAGGAGGGGCAACAAATACTAATGTTATTACATTAAAACTACAACAGTCTACCTTTAAAAACCTTCACGTATTTAAAAAAAAAATAAGAGTTTGAAAGAGATTAGAGCAATGAATAATTCAGAACTGATCAGGCCAGTGTAAGAATAATTTTAATTCCTTTGGTGTCTGCAAACAATGTGCATCTCAACAACATTAAAAGATGTAATACACCCATCAGACTGAAGACAAGTAATAGTTTAAAAATACGTTATGTGGATTAAAAACACTACAAGTAGCAAATTCACAGTAAGTAGCGTGAGTTACAGCAACACTGAGGCACAAATAACAGAATTCACAGGACAATGAACGCGGTTCAACAAAAGGGGGAGGGGGGGGGGGGGGGGGGGAAAGAAATGACAAAAAATGATAAACACGTGTATGAAATAAGGTAATCTAACAAAAATGTTGCTTAAATAATGTTAACATAAAAGGAAAAGAAAAGACCACCTCACTCACTCAAAATGCCGTGGAAACACTATACCAATAGAATCCAAACTACATCACCAAATAACATCATTTCCATCCATTTCTTCCTGGGATTAGTAAACTAAGAGGACTGCTGGAACTGAACACGTATGTGCACTCCCTCCTCGCTCGAGCGGTGGGTTTAAGCTCCACAGCATCTGCATGTCGAGGCACTTGGAAAGAATATGATTGTACTGTGTGAAGTTTATTATGTACATTTGTTACACGTGTGCGCGCCTGTAAATCACACTCCCTCCAGCACGAGCGTGTGCTTAACCTCGCAGATCCACAAAACGGTCGACATGGTCACTGACAAGAGGAACGTTGACAACGCTTCGCGCTACAGTCGTCTACAAAAATATGATGAGATCGCCGAGTGACCGCGGCTACCGAGGTACTGATTCCAGATCAGCGTTCCAGCCCCACGACCCAAAAAAAAGGAAACCCGGTCGGTCATCTGTTCAGATTACGAGACAACTGGGGACAGTGCAAAAAAATGTGGTGCCGCTTTTTCTTCCCCGAAAGCGTTCTTCTCTCACTGCGTTGTGGTAAAACACGGGAGGAAAAGCACACTTCTGCAGCCTGGAGTCTTCCCTTAAAAGCATCCATGAAATAACCGGTACAAGTACAACTGCTAATGCTACATCTCAATTTAAAAAAAAAGGGAAAAAAAAGGATGAATGTTAATATTCCCAATCAGTCGCTTAGTGGGACTTTCAAATGACACAACAGCTTGCGCACACCACACACACACACACACACACACACACACTCACGACGACACAACATCCTCGAACAACTGGTCCCACACGTACACAACACGCATGTTGAGCGAACGAGTCGACTTCGCGCCGCCGGTCCCTCCGCGGCAGGTGTCCGTCCGTTAAGGCAGGCTGGAGATGTCCCGCTTCGGGGGGGGCCCGTCTGGTTTGCAGGTGGCGCCATTGGCTTTGTCCTCAAAGACCAAAACTCTGCGTGTGGAGAGAGAAATTAAATAATGTGCATTTAATCGGCTGGATTGCTGGGGAAAAAACATCAGCATTATTTCTCCTTTTTTGGTCCTTAATTAAGCAGAAAAAGAGATTTCCCGAAGCCCTTTTTTACGCTGTTGCACTTTGATTAATTCATTGTCAATGAGAAATTAGAACTTCAGCTTGAAAAGATTAAAATTGACGATTATGAAATAAAAAAGGGCCGATGCAGGGACACGGAGACGTAGTTTTGACCTTGAGCGAGCCATAAAGAAAGTGAGAGAAAACCACTAAAAGGGAAGTGAGGGGAATAGTGGTTCGGACTGGACACCGCAGAGTGAGCTATTCGCAGCACAGAACGCCCGCCTTTAACTTCCTTTTTTTGGATAACTGCAAAGCTCCACTAAGCTCATAAGGAGCAATGATCCCGACGACGAAAAAGCGCCACTCGGCGCCTCGAGATCACACCTCATCAGTCGCCTACTGAGGATTCAATCCCCAGCGCAACAGTCAGAAGGTCCCGTTTCTGTAAATAGATTATTCGCGTCGGGTTCGTGTCGTCTCTTATCAGGATTGTTAACAGATGAGCTACACCCTGCCTAACGCCCGTCACGGGGTACATGCAATATAAATCCCTTTAATGTTTGTAGAGAGTCCACCAACCCATTAGTACAAAATATTAAACGTAAGGCTCATCGGGAGTTTAAAAACCCGGTGTGTCCGTGTGTGACCTCATCAAAAGAATTTCCCAGAGTGGCCTCCCCTTTGCAGGGGTGTGACCTTTAGGAATTTTCTCCGGTTAAAAATTCATTTGTGGGGGTCCCAAAGGCGTTGATTACCACTTTTCAAGAGCTCATTGTCCCCTCAAGGACCCCCCCCCCCCCCCCCTCCACCCCCCACGCCTCTCCTCCCGACAGAAACAGCAGAACACAAGGGAGGCGTTGTGGACCTTTGCAGTCATCAGATTGGGGAGTAGAAGTAGAAACAGTAAGGTGCTCTATGGAGGTAACCTACACCATGTGACCCGCCTGCAACACGAGCGCACGAGCGCACACACACACACACACACACACACACTATTTATAAATAGCCGATTATGGAGATACACTTTTGGGGCAAAAGGAGGAAAAGTTGTGCATTTCCTCTGCTCTGCGGTTTGAGGACTAGTCTGCAGAAAAGGTTCCAGCCAGTCGAGTCCTGCAGAGCCGACATGCGGTGTGACCTGCAGGCTCACACGGCTTCACTGACGGGCTCCGAGGCAGCAGCACGCGAGTCACCTTGGACCCCAGGGACCAAAAATAAAACCCATTTCGAAAGGAGAAGATCTATTGTAAAAGAATTTTCACTGGTCGGGTGTTTCTACCGGTCCCGCGTGACCCGTCTGCGGTTAATCAGCCTATAATCAGTTACCTAAGCACATGAGCCCAGCTCAGGATAAGGATGGGCCGACCATGGATAGGCTTACGTAAAGGGGGTTTGTCGCCATGGAGATAACGACTAATGCAGCACGTGGGTGGAGACGTCAGCGTTAGACGTGACGGAACCTCCTTTTCTGAAGGACGAGACAGAAGGCCGACGCAGCGCGCACACACACACACACACACACACGCGCAGGGTTACTCACAGTTTGAGCACGGCCGAGCGCTTGCCCAGCATCATCTTCACAAAGTCCCTGTAGTCGATCGTGTTGCTGCTGCCGCCTCCGGTCACCTCCACGATCATCTTTTTCAACTCCAAGTGCGTCTTGGGAACCCCCAGCTTCTCCATCATGCGCTTCAGACCCATCATATCTGAGAGACGGGGCGGAGGACAATCAGGGTGCTAGAAGACTTTTTTTTTTTTTTTTTTTAAATCATCGCTGATGACGTTTATCATCATCATCATGGGAAATGTGGGCGCTGGAGTGTTTGCAGCTTCACGGACTAAAAAGTCAAGATATTTCTGGCACCAAAACGAACGCCGCGCTCGCACAAAGTGTTCGTTGTCGCCGCCGACGGCGCGTCTGTCAACTCACCGATCTCTCCTTGGTCGTTCAGGTCAAACTCCGAGTATTTATCTGCAGGACAGAGACACACACACACAAAGGGGGGCGTTAGTAACGGGCGCACACGCGCAGCATCTCCGGGGGGACGGAGAAAACCACCCGCCGCCCGGGTGAGCCGCCTGCAGGCAGCCGAGCTGACCAAATGGGGGACAGGACAGCTGACGGGAGAGACAGGCGCGTCCCGCTTGTCTTGAGCGTCTCGGGGGAGACGGCAGCCGAGTGGGGCGTTGGAAGTCCGAGGCGGGTTCAAGCGAGAGGAAGTTCAAGCTTCAAGCTCAACAGAACGGTGGCAAACAAAATCTGTTCTTGCATCGTGACTCCACACGCGTCCACTGCTTCGTCACGTCAAGTTCCAGCTGCACAAAAAGCTTAGAGTGATTTTTGAGCGCACTCTGCCATGTTCTTATCCTGCATCAGTGTGTGTGTGTGTGTGTGTACCCTATGACAAAGTGGAGGGATTTCTGACTGAACTCGACGGGGAGGATTAATAAAAACAGCCCTCGTGTGTAAAAGCTCATTGTTAAAAACGCAACACAAGTGGCTGCACGCTCTGAAAAACAAAACAACAATGGCTGACATTTTACCACTCCAAGTTTCACTGTCACATTCTGTCCGACACTGGAAGCTCTGTGTGTGTGTGTGTGTGTGTGCGCGGGGAGAGAGAGAGGGCACTGTGTTAACCGTGTGAACCCAAGGGGAACAGGACAATGCGGACCCTGTTAGTCAACTCTGAGGGGCCTCCGCACAACCACACACACACTCTCTCTCACACACACACACACCAGTTCTTGAGGGGGCAACTTTCCGCCTGTTGATCGTCTGCAGCCACAGAAAATGGCTCCGTCGAACAGAAGCGTGTTCAGTCCTTCCGACCCGCATTCCTCCAGCGGCTGGGACCAAAAGTATTGTCATTTGATGCCGTGAAGTTTGATCATATTGTCTTATTATTTGATGCAGCTGTCTTCAGAGGGGGGGGGGGGGGGGGTCCCCCCTCTCCCACCGTGTTATATTGGGTGCGGTTGTCAAGTGGGAAACAAACTCTAAACCAGCGCTCTATCCCAACGCTAACTTTTAAAGCATTTAGTAATACAAATTTTGAACTTCTTAAAACTAATGAAATACTTGGATCATTTAAAATAAGTCAAGTGTTCAATACATGCATACATTTGAGGGATGAAATCGGGCATCGATGAGATTTGGGTTGGCGGATGGATCCCCCATGGATCCCCCAAACTTTGGGTCCCCCAGTTTAGATACTGACCTCTGGGTCACCATGGAAAGGAGAACGGTGGAAAGGAGAATAAGCAGCAATGCGCTCAGCCTCCGGCTGCCGGCTCCCCTTTCTGTTTGTATATTAATGCTCCATTTCCTGCAGCATGCAGGGATTGGAAGTAGGACACCGGAGCAGGTTTCTCATGCGCTCTACGCCGAGGGACAGCCTCACGTTGTCCCGTCTGGAGAGTCAAGAGGACAGAATGCTCTACATGCAGCCACAGCTGGCTCCCTGCAAGTCGGGCTCCCGGTCGCAGTGATCTTGCTCTCTTCCCGGGGAGTTTTACCCAGCGGAGTTCTGAACATTGAAACAACAAGCGTTTGCATTCCTGCAGAGCCCTCCGAGGACCCGGCCTCGCTATCTCTTTGGAATATCTCGGCAGCTCTTTTCCCACGTGGAGAGACAGAAAACACTGCATGTGTGTGTGTGTGTGTGTGTGTGCGCAGACCGCTAACAAAGAGATATGGAGGCAGAGACAAAAGCCAGATAAGAGGAACACACCCTCACAGGGACGACCCGACACCGAAACTACCGAGGGAAGGGCTGCAGTCGCTTACTTTTGAGCCCCTCCAGTTTTTGGGGCAGGTCCTCTTCATCCCTGTATTTCTGGTCTTCCAGGTATTCCTGAAGAAGGAGGAAGAGGGGGGGGGGGGGAGGTGAACACACTGAATGTAATTGTGGAAAAAAACCCAATTTGGACTGAAACTCCTTCTTAAAAGATCAGAACGCAAAATTAGAGCACAAAGCACATCGATCGGATCGAAGGAAAAAAACAAAACGTGTCTGTGTTCATTAAGTGGAACACCCCCCAAGGGTGCAAGATGAGAGCCTGAAGGGAGCTTTTCTAATGAAATTATGATGACGCAATCTGTCGTGTGGGAGACAGCTCTTGGGGGGGCGGGTGGGGGGCAACACAAAGAGACAGGTTGTCCTATGCGTCGACCTCTGCCGAGCTGGAAACGAAAGGTCGAGGAGGATGAACGACACATCTGGATGTTTATCAGCGACGCCTGACTCAGCCACTGACCCCCCCCCACACACACACACACACAGAGGAATGTCCTCTCACAGTGTATCCTTAGTGTGTTATCACAAAGAATGCAGAGGTCAAACACAGAGTGTCTCCTCCGACCGAAGCTCCGGCTGTATTTTATATTTTAGGTCCAGCAGGTGTCTTAGACACAGCTTAGACACAGAGACGGTCTTAAATATGTATATGTATTAAATATCAAACTAAATAGTAAAGTAAAACTGGTATTTTTTCAAACGTGGGGTTTAACAGACGTAACGTGATGGGCGAGGAGAGCTGGTGAGTAAAAAAGGGGGGAAACAGAGATTATACGTTAATCTGAGGAGCGAACGTTACTTCAGAGCAGACAAAGAGCTCATCCGAACGCACGGGCCCTCAACGCAACATTACGTGTGTTCTTTACCGGGCGGGGGGGGCAGCAGCGACCAGTACGACCGGGTCAGGGGGAGAATCCTCGTGTGACAGCATGCGGCCGTTCAACAAGTGCCGCACGAACGCAGGGGGCGCAAAAAAAAAAAAAAAGAAAAAAATCAATAAAATGCATAAACTCCGTTACACGCGTGATGCGTTCAAGGGCTGCATTATTCACCGGGACGGATACACACACACGCCCCGCCGCTGCAGCGTTGCCCGCACAATTAAAAGAACAAGTCAAGTGTGCGTGCGTGCGTGTGTGTGTGTGCGTGCGACCGTTCGATTCGAATTCCCCCGAGGTGCCGTGAGACACGCCGACGAGGAGAACATTCGTACCTTGTTTATTTCTTCCAATTTGGACCTTTGCTGCTCCTTTAACAGTCCGAAGGCTTTCCCCCCTGCAGAACGGAGCAGAACATCACGTTTTTAGAGCAGCGAGGCGGTTCACACACCGATGTAGGTTTAGCTTGGACAGGAGGGGGGGGGAGGAGGTGGGAGGATGGGGGGCGGCCTGCTGATGCTCTACAGTCTGTCTAGCTCGCTGCACATGAGAGAGATAAACAAGGAGACAAAGCATTTGTTTCTCACCTTGTACATTTGAAGGCATCCCGGAGTTTATCTGCGCGTTACGAGTCCTGAGAATGAATTAAATCTCCGAGGCAGAAGACCACCGCAACTGTCCGCCGGGGCGATACTAGTCCGAGAGGGACGAGGCTCAGCGGGTCAATAAGTACCGTCAAGCCGGACGCAGCCAGAGGGGGGAGCATCCGGTGAATCCTTTCAAAATAAACCATCGACTCACTGTTACACAAATCCGGTTTAAATATACAATGCAATTTGGGTTGAAGAAGTATGAGGGAACTGTGGAAGGAAGGTCAACTGGTATAGAGAAGTGAATTAACAGTTTGAGATTTTTATGAAGTAAATATTGCAGTATTTCATTTCAAACATATACGAATATTTACTGTTTATATGTATACATAGAAAACACATATATAAAATATGTTAGCAGTTACATTTAATTTGGATTTGAGGCCTCTTTGAATAAAACTAAATGGTTTTTTTTTAAGATTAAGAGTGTTCAAGCTCTTATTTTGAAAGCAAAAGTATCAAGCTTCCGGTGTGCGTATGGGTCGTATTTTGTTATTGGTTCATTGTGGATGATCCTCTGGGAGAACAATTGGGTCGCCTGTAACTCGCGTCTACCACCTCGTGGAGGAGGAGAGAACCGCACGTGTTGGCGGCGTCATTCTGACAACGGCCCAATCAAAACCCACGAGACAATTTAAACCCTTTTATGAACGCTTTCCGTAAAAATCCGCATTCGCCGCAGGCTTTGCACAAGGGAATTACCCACAATTCCCAGCAGTGTGACGACAGACACGGAGTTACCTGTGGAAGCGTGGAGACGGACAAAGGTAAACAAAGAGGACGACACACGACCAAACGACATTTACTCAGAAACAAAAAGGATTAAAGATGCAACATAAAACACAGGATTAGGTTTGGAAGCAGAGATTATAACACACCGATTTAACTCCAGCTGTTCTGACAAAATAAGTAAAATAGTTCATTTGAAATACCTCACATCTTTGATAGTAATAGTATATTAATACTTTTACGTTATCACAATTACGAGCAAACTTTCTGTATTTACACCATCCTGGTCGGCGGGGTTTGGATCCAATCCCCCCCACAGTTTCTTTTCAGACTGTTTATATTGAAACCTGTAACATCTGCCACTTGGGACGACAGATGAAAAATAGCCCTTTGGCTAACTGTGGCACATTTACAGCAATGTTTTATTAATAAGCACTGTCCCGCATCAAATAAACCGATAAATAAACCCTGTTATGAGCTGATATCATGGCCGGTTTTGAGTGCTCGTCGTGGAAAGCTATAAAAAAACGGCAGAATAAGGATCCACAAATCTCGTCGGGCAGGCCCTATTCTGCAAACCGGATAAAGTAAACAGATTTAAAAGGAGCATACGTTTAAATGTATAAATCGTTTTCAAAGCAAATAAAGTACGACAGCCATATATCTCATATTCATGCCCCAACAAAGAGCTTCAATCCCTTCTTAAAATATTTTTCCCACGCAGTAAATGTCCTGTAAACACTGTGATTTGAAGCCCTATCAGGCAACAAAAAAGACATTCATCAGCTTACTGCATGCAGATAATTTACATTCTCTTGGTCCAAAAGGATTTCTTTGTCTTATATTTGGGACAGATGAGGCTTTATACTTGTGAACGTGTTTTCATTTTAGCCTCATAAAGACTCCCTTGGCTCTGCAGCAAAGCAGTTTGGTTTGGATTCATATTGTTTACTTGAGGACATTTCCAAAGCATTTGGGGAGGATTCACAGCGCCCTTCAAATCAACCGGCCTCTCCACCAAATAATATTGAACAAGCCATTTCAAGGTGTATACAAGCCTGTGATGCAGACAAGACACCCAAAACTCTTTAAGCTCCATCATTAATCATTTGTCCTTTAATGTATACAGAAGTTTAAAAGTGGTCAGTATGTTTTCTCCACACAATGTGGAAAATGTTTTGTGAGATTGTGAGCAGAGATCATGAGCCCATCTAATTTATATTTATCACAGAATCAGTTCCTTTCCAATTTAAATAGTCCACTCACAAAGCGTAAAGCAAAATGGTGATATTACACCAACTTTTTTTTTTAACCTTTTCTTTAGGACTGAATGTAAAATTTCAATAAAATGTATTATACAATTGCAATACGTTAGTGTATCGTGATATATGGACTCATTTAGAGGTAGTTTGTCACCCCATTGTGGTCATTTCTTGTAAAGAACTCCAATCTTTTGTTGGATCTTCTGCAGTTCACCAACTATTTTTTTGGGGGGGGTGGTGGGGTTTAAATTTGGGAAATACGACTATAAATTTCACTACTACAGTTGCAGTGGAGATTAACAAATAATCATTTGTAAAACATGTTCTTATCAGATGAGATGTTTTCCACACTGGATGTGTCGTTTATTTTATGCATATTTAAAACATATTTAAATAAAAGTCTACTGGCCTCAGATCTCTGAGGTAAATGACTGATCCTATAGTGTTAGAGAGAAGATGTATTCATACACCTGATGGGGATTTATTTACTGTCCAATAAATAATTAGATTTAAATGAACACATTCAATGGCAGCTTCGATTAGGCCAATGTTAGCTGTGTGTGTGTGTGTGAAGTACATGTCAAAACTATCAAAAAACCGCACATTGTCAACAACAAGTCAAAAGGAGCCATTTGAAAATACTTTACTGTGGGTGCAAAAACAAGATATGTTCAGAAAGCCGATTTATTCAGTGTACCACAATAGATTTGACTTTATCCCACATAAAAAACAATTTACACTCATCATTCTGACATGAAAAGCTCAACTGGTCTTCCTTCCTCTGAGACGAGTCTGCTTCATATTAACCATGAAACTAGATCACAGGGCAGACGGCTTTAGATAAATCACCAACGTGGCAGAACACTTTCTGCTACTAAAATCAACTGACTGCAAAACACTTTATTTATAACAAGTGATTTCTGATTGTCTTCAACTTTGTTGACGCTCTGAAATTTTTATGTAGAAAACAAGACGATAGACTCGATCAGCCCTGAAGCTTTGTCCAACCTACTTACAAGAATAATGTCAAAATTGTACTGGTAAGTCTTAAATGAATGCACTTCAACATTTAACGGAACGCTTTTTGAAAAGCCGTCCAATTAGACTTTGCAGTCTTCTCCCAGTTTCACGCTGCATACAAATATTAATCACGTTTTGAGTACAGCGTAAGACTGAGTAAGGCAGATGTTTGGATGTACTTTGGATGTGTGGGAGCCAAAGCAGGACATGAGGTATGAATGCTCGGGAGGGGTAACTAATTGTTGTTTGGGGGTCTTAGCATTTAAACATTAACAACTTGTGAGTTTCACACGCTCCTTAATGTTCTTCTTCAAGAGTCGCTGGAGATCCTCCGGTCAACAATGAACATCTGGTGGTCCGGCGTTTACGGAGGGGGCGGAGGAACATCTGCAGACGACACAGGCGGGGGGGCTTCAGGCCCAGCGCCTCTATCCTATTAATAGGATAATTGTGTTGGGCGGGAGGTGGAACATCACTGATGTCACGCAGGTTGAGGACAATCAGACTCTTGATCTGACCGAGGGGCGATGTGGGAAGAAGGAACTGGGCCGTCCTGCAAAACCTGCACGGAGGGAAAAGTCAATGCGGAAGGATGAAAAGGGAGATCGTTAGTGAATTAGCTCAAAGGTTACAGGGTAATTGCTTCCTTGGAGGGCGTCTAACTTCTTTTCAAAGTGAAGGAGATGAAGTGCTGGGATCAGAAAAGGTTTCATCAGGATCCAGAAAAAGTGAGGGGAAGGAATCCAGTTGAGGCGATGAGGAGGGAGCGTGGGGGAGGGTTCAATGCGACGTACGTAAACGGTCTCTGACCCACAGGTAGAAAGTATTTAAGAATCAGACCACCTGAGGGCAGCAGTGATCCACACCGGAGCCACGCTCATCCTTTTCTCTCCCGAATCACATCTGGAAATCCACATCAAGTCTCCCAGAATATGAGACTGAAAAGAGGACCAAAAACCCGTTTGGATATTCCTCAAGCTGTCTGCTTAAAAGATGCGTCCGGGCTTCACCTGGTCACATGTTTGTCCCTCACAACTAAAGCATTAAGTGTGAAATCGATCTTATAAAACACTGATTATATAGAATTTTCGTATTCATCACGTCATTGTTAATTGTTAATTAACTTTACCATTTTAATTAAATCGTTCATTATCAGTAAACAATGTAGGAAATTGATAAACAGTCCTCACCGTGTTATTAGACGGTAATTAACTTCTAAACGATGACCGATGTGCTTCCTCACACAGATTAGCAGGGTTACTTCATTCATTACATTTATCTTTGGTTGGATCATGTAATCGGTTTACAGCATATTCCGCTAATCTAAATCGCGTTTTCCTCTTTTGAAAAGTGAGATTATTTGCCACAATTTATTTTTCCAATACTTTCTAATTTCTGACTGTTAGCATGCTAACATGCAAGTCCAAAGGTGCACGTTATGGCCGCTAAACATCACTATGCACTGACACCTCATTATGATATACAGCAGAGCAGCCATCACAACCCCTTTATTAAAGAATACATCATCTTTTTACTTTCTGCCTCACATCAACATCATCCTATTACGTCTCCATCTCTGCCCCGGAGGACTCGTTTTATCTGCTCGCGTGCACAGTCCGGGGCGGGGCGAGCATCACGTTTAGGATGGACCGGTTCGGCTCCCTGTGAACTACGGCACTTTAAGAATAAAGAATCGCTCAGAATAAAGCAGCCGTCCTACGCGCGACCTTCGTTACGCGCTGTTTGTTTGTTAATGTGTGCAGGCGTCATCTACAATATAGTGCAAAAGCCAGGTTGACCATGCGAGTTTATATAAATTCAAAACATGTAAGAGAAAATACACAATGTGTCAAATGCCACTCTTTTTATTTGAAGAAAAGAGTCAATAGTGGGGGGGGGGGCAGGGGGCTAAAAGGCTTTTTTACATTGCAATTGTTTTGAAGATTTTTATTGTGCCACAACGTGCACAGTCATAAAGAGACAGAATGGGATCTTCAGCTTGAGCAGCCTATTTATAATCCCACAAAGGAAAGAAAAATGATTCATTGAGGGGCCTGCAGCGAGGTCCTCCAGAACATCTGCCGACTGTCCTCCAGGTAGACTTAACCCAATATCTTCAAACGCAATTAGCCCTTCCCCAAAAAGCAATGTTCCGACCGCCGTGGCTCCTCCGAGGCGCAACGTCAACCAACGGCTTTACTTTGTGGGGTTAAAGTGCAGTTACAAACTATTCCAATTTAAAAACGCTGACTTCAGACAGCTCGTAAGCAGCCAGTCACACTTGTGTTAACAGGAAATAACCATCTATTATTCTCAGGACTCTTTATTTACGCTTCACATCTTCTGCACGGATCACCCACCAGCGAGGACGTTTCATTTGTTTCATTGGGCCATAAAAAGTGCATATTTAATTAAGCCAATTCTACGATTGTCTTCTTGGAAGGATTAACCTGCAGACGTAAAAAAAAAAAAAAAAAAAAAAGGCAGTCAGACACGTCATGGAGCCAACGTTGGCATAATTAAATTGCTAAGCGCCGGCTGATACAATCTGCCAGCAACCGGCGTCACCTGAATCTCAGCCAGTGGGAAGGTTTCCTTCAAAGAATCACCGGCCTGCAACGTCACCTCAGAAGCACCGCCGGGCGATACTCTGCGAGGGGCAGCTGGAGTGTTCCATCACACACCTCCTATGAGCGCGCATCTTTTTTCATAAGAGAGGAATTTTGTTCCCCACAATGTCAGTTAGGAGGCTGAATGGGACTACTTAACATCACCATAGCAACCGGCGTGCCTTTACTTTCTCATTGTGTTGCCATCCGTGCAGATTATCGGGAAAGTTATCTTCTCTACGGAGCTTCTTTTTTTTTTTTACAGCTGGAATCTAAAACCCGATGGGAAAAAAAACCCATCGGCTGTTTGTCAGAGAGGGACACGATCTTAAATCAGGGGGCTGAGCATCGTCTTCAGACCCGTTGGCTCTCTGGGCAAAGGAGCCCTGGATGGAGCCTTTGTTGAGCAGTTGATTGGACAGAAGACTGGTCTCATAAGGCCCTGGTGTCCGTGGAGAAGGACAGACACGTGAATGATCCCCCTGCCACGGCAGCGTCCCGCGAAGCCGAGTGGCCGACGTCGGTCCGTGTCGGCGGGATGCTGCGCGAAGGTTGAGTGCACGTAGGGATTAAGGGGAAAGAGGCGTTTGAAGTGGGTATTACATTCTCTGTCCTTTTTTATTTCACCTGGTGGGCCTGTTTCCTTTGTTGGAGCAGCTGGAGAGCGAGAGAGGAACGTCAGAGCAGTTCATCCGGGTACATTTGAACCGCGTGATGGAAGGAAAACCGATCTCCGCGTTTGGTGCAAGAGGTTCGCGGTAGACCTTGTGAGACGGTCACGTTACAATAAACGTCTACTCCACTTGTCTTAATAACAAGATTTAAATTCAGTAGAATTTAGTTTTTTTTCAAGGCAAAAAATAAAGGGGAACTTTTGAAAACTCTAAGCTGAGTGAAACACACAGGAATCAGCTCGTGTCTTTTCTCGGGCTCAGTCCTTCACAGCTCCGCACCGGTTTTACCTTATTTGACGAGCGGAGCTATTGAGGCCGTACTGGTTCTCCTGAGAGCAACAGTCTAATAAACACCAGCTAACGTTCGCTCGCAGAAAAATAACTTCAGCTTGGCTTCAGCTTTCACTCCCTCAGGCTTCTTCCAGTGTATCGTTATCTATTATTAACAATTTGCACGGCGTGCTTGATATATTCGGGGGACTTAAAACTACATTCTCCTCCATCATATCTCCCATTACACACCTGTCCCTGGGATGGTTTTCTTATCCTTCCAAAACAAGAAAAAAAACTCACTGAGCTCGGAATATAAATGACTCTTCTTTTTCTTTCCACGTGTTTTCCCTGTCATTATTTATTCAGACCCCAAACACATGCAAACGAAGCACAAGCACCTGACAACTGCGTTTACCCGTGATCACACATCATTTCCCCCCAAAAACACATACAGCGGAATAACAGCAGCCAACACAGAGCGGCGAGGGGGAAATAAAGATGCGCACCTGTTTCCCGTCGTCAATCTCAATCAGTCCTCAGCGCGGCGCCGGCGACCCGTTAAACGCGTGTCCCTCACTGGCGTAAACACGCCAGACGAACGCTGTAATTAACCTACCGCCATGCCTCGTCTCTCCCCAGCAGGTGCTCGTGTTTCAGGGGCACGTTTAAAACGCCTTTCAGAGCACACAAGCTCCGGCGCAGCGAGCTGAACCGTGGACAAAAAAAAAAAAGCGGCGCCACCTCTGAGATTACCCACACTGGTGGATCTCTCCCAAGTACAATTATACCTGCATGACTGCTTGAGCGTGAGATTCTCCTTTCGTGATATCCATTACATTTAGGAACCCAACACGGCTAGAAATAAATTCCATTTGAGCTAAATGAGAGAATCTGTAATACAGGCCAGAGCAGAAAGGACGGGACGTTGCTTTATCACCTGTCTGTGTCAGAGGGCGGAACACATCAGCCAACCTCAGAATCCTTAATAGCAGAGTTTAAATGAGCTCGAGCCAAGAATAGTACCAAAACATGTCACCATCAAATTCATATGGACACTTGAGACAAATGTGACACCAAAGAAAGAACAAAGAAAGATTCAACTTTCATTACATTTAGTCAATCTCTGCTCCTTATCCGTGTTTCATATTCTTATTTTCAATGATTACTGATGGCGGGTTAACAACATATTCCAAATGTGGTTTATAATCGGAAAAGTAATTTTAAATATTTTCTTTGTCCAAATAATAATAATAACATGTTTTTTGTGTGTATTTCGGTGCAACAAAATACACATCAGTGTGACGCTTCTGTTTCATCAAACATACCTGTGGCATCATTTTGGAACCTCAGATCATCTGCTTGATCTTAATATTTCACGATAATCTGCCTTGAAGCCATTGAAGCCACACACACCCACGCACACACACACACACCCACGCACACACACACACACACCAGCTTTCATAGTCCATTTGCACTCGGGTCAAAGCCTCCCCGTTTCCCAACAGGACTCCCGGCGTGTTCATCGTCTTGGGGAACTCGAGGGGGAGTTTAAGATGTGATCGTAAACGAGGTCACAATTGTTTCGTCTGAAAAGAAAAAACCACGCGGGGCAGAACATGACTGAGACGGGGTTTAAAACACATTTCTGTCAAAAAGAAAGCATTCATTTGCATTTGTTTACGTGACTTGAAGAGGTGAGTTCACAGCACGGATCCACCTGCCGTCAAAGGTTTTCATCCGCCTGCGGACTTCAAGACTCAGCTGACGTTTGGTGTTCTTCTTGTTATGAGCCGGGTTAATCAATAATGCTGTGTGCTCACAGCGCAGGGACGCAGCAGCCCTTTGATTCCCTGTGGAAAGCGCGTTTAAGGGTCACACACACACACATCTGGGCAGCGGGGAGCCCCTCAGCATCTGTCTTTGATGTTGAGGATTCACCGTGTCGGGCATCCGGCTCCTGTGCTGCTTCTTTTGTGGATTTACGCGTTTTTGTGGGGTTTAAAGCGAGCTCATTTAGCGGGGGATTCCCTCCTAATGAACAGGAATGCCTCCGTGGGAAAAGAAAAGTACAGGGGAGAGATATTTGTGCGAATAAAACTCTGACAGTGGATACACAATGAAATCTTTGTTTCTTTAGCTTTCTTGTGTTTTTTAACACACGTTTCTTCACATTTGACAAAACACACTGTTAATGTCTTTGAAGACCTTTGAGATTTGATAGAATTTCGTCATCCTCAGCGCCGAGACGAGGACAACGTGATGGAGGTGAGTTCATCAGGGAGGGAAGGATGAAGGTTCGATACCCGTTACAGGCGCTACTGAGAAGTGTAAGTGTTGGAATAGGCGGGATGGCAGTGAGACTTCCTCTGATGCACTAATTTGTTTTCTTGAACCGCTCAGCAGCCCACACCTTAAACGTGTGCAATTATCCACGCAAACACATTTTCCTCTCTGGAAAGTTCTTGGGTGGGTTTTGTGTTTCTTTTCCGTCTCTCTTTAACTCTTTTAATTAGAACTGCCAGCAACAGATGTGTGATGTGTGAGGTAAACCAATTTAGCTTGAACTTTTCTAGCCAACTTTCCTTTCCAGTTGTCTACGGTTCAAAAACCTTTTCCTTGTGCCGCAGCAATAACGCCGTCATGGTGTCTCGCCACTTGTATTCGTTGGTGAAAATCATCATGGTTTTTGACGGACTAAACAAAAAAGATGAAACATTTTAATTAGTGAGCTTTTGAGGTGTCGGCTGAAAGTGAAGCTAAGTGGAGAGAAAAAAAACAAGCAAACATGCTCATCCAATGTACAAAGGTTGACGCTGTGCACTGTTTTATCACAAAAGAGACAAATGAAGTGTTTGGTAATAAAAGGAAATCAAACGAGACGAGAGCAAATAGATGTTAATCAAACTGCTGAGCTATGCCACATTCATTTCTTGAAGTATCAAGACTGTTTTAAATATTTCATGTATTGTTTCGCATTGAACATTTGAGGATTCCTTGAACTCACCTACCACTGTAAACAAACCGCTCTTTTATTTCCGTTTGTTCGCACTGTTCTGCGATTGTGTCCATCAAAAAGAGCGAGACATTTTTAATATGCAAAGTGGGTCTTTCAAGCATTCTTTATTTTGAAATGGTTTCCATGTGAAGGCTTTACATACTTAAAACAATTACTAGATGTAAATGTGGAACTGGTTTGTCTTAAATCGGATTCCTGATCAAATATTCAAACAAGAATAAAAACGGCGAAATGCTCATCTTACATCACTTTGGTAAACCGTCCCTCCATGAGTCGTATTCACACTACAAAGGTAAGAAGCTTTTACATTTGGTCCATCAGAAGCCAGACAGTGGGACAAAGGTCGTGACCCCGGGAACAAGGAATATTAACCGTGCGATAGTAACCACAAAGACGAACGAAGCCTGACCTGAACCCACCGAGGCCGAGGGGACTAATTGTTAATTAAAGCGGTCGGTGAATGAATGTGACAGTCACCTCTTCACCCCCCACACCAGGAAACAAGCATTATTTCAAACTCGACAGGAAACCAACGGTGGCTAATTATTCACGGTGAAGTTAAAAGTTTGGATGTTGTCGAGTGGGGAAAAAGAAATGAAGGGGAATAAAAACAAAGGATGAGGTGTGAATCGTGGGAGTGTGTGAGAGACCATGAGTTTAGTCAAATAAATGTATCTCGGGGAAAAACTTTTTTGAATTAAAAAAGAATTAAAGGATATATATGACTTTTCTGTAGGAGAATAATAAATGACAATTACCTTTTTATTAACAAAATCCGTGGTAGAATGAAATGCACTTGATGTAAATATTTGGAGGAGATAACTGACCTTTTTTTGAAGTAGAATATAAAAGAAAATGAAACGAAATCCTCAGACTTCTGTGATGCTCGGCTGTCTTCCAGAGACCCATCTGCAGTGAGTGTCTAGCCTCCCGCTGCCCCCGTGGCCCGGGGGCACGACTGGGGCAGGTTTAAAGCGATGTCCCTGAGACTGTCTCTCTCCTCCCTGATCTCCTGCAGGTCCTGCTCGATGAAGGACATCCTGCTGTGCTGCTCCTTGGCGGCCGACTGCAGCCTCTGGATCTTGGACACCAGCGCCGGGCTGTCGACGCTGCCGCGCAGCACGCTCAGGCGCCGCGCCGTCTCATCCAGAAGGCGGTGGAAGCGCTCCAGCGGCACGTTCCCATCTGGTCGGGACAGGCGAGAGGAGAGCTTTTTGAGAAAGCGGAAACTACAGATGGAGGCGTGGGAAGTGGCTCAAGCGGTGGATCGGCCATCGTGAGCCAATTACAGCGATTCGGTCGTTATCCTCTCAGTCCGGTCAACGTAAGCAGTTATTCAACAAATATGTTTTAATGAACAGGTCAGATGATGTTATGTCGGAAAGGCGCCGCTGAATAACGTTTACTCCATGATACAGAGAGAGAAACTGTTCCCGGGCCTCATGAACGGCAGTTACTCTGCCTCCATCGTGGGAAAACCAATCTGGAAAATATTTCCATGTTAAACGAGGCCTTAAACAGCGCCGAGCTCTTCGGTGATTCGACATCTACGATACGGAAGACTAAAAAGGTGCGGCGGTGAAAATGATCCATAAGGGGGTGACTCACCGATGCTGCTGATTAGCTCGGTCAGTGTAGCGGAATAGGCCTTTAACTGGAGCTTGGCTGCTTCCATGTCCTCCATAACGCCGGCCAGGGACGCCTCAGGCTGGAGATGAGAAGACATACTTCAGAAACAAGGAGAGCAGATCAATATCCTGCTGTTTCAATGCATGCATGCATATATGTGTGTGTGTGTGTGTGTGTGTGTGTGTGTGTGTGTGTGTGAGGTACCTCTGAGGTGATCTGCGAGCTGAGTGTGTCTGCTAGCGTCTCCTGCTCAGCCAGCTGTTTTAAAGCAGAGTCTATGTGGGAGTCGAGGTGAGCAGACGCAGTCCTGGTGTGCTTGGCCTGGGTCAGAATGGCTTTGGATTCCTGCACAGAGAGAGAGAGAGAGAGAAAATATAGAACCAACAGACAACAAAAGGTCAACCGAAAATTGATGTGCCTGCACCTGGCGCGTTGCTACCGAAACCTAAATAGTTCCTGAAAACATGTGAAACATGCCTTTGCCACAGCGTGTGCTCTCCTTTCCGCTTCCTTTGTGGCGTTGCTGGAGAGGCTGGAGTTTTCCAGCGCCGGTTTCAGCATCTTCTCTATCTGTGAGACCTTCTTCCTGACGTCTGCTAGAACCTTTTCCTCCAGGGGTCTCCCCTTCTTCACGGCCGCCTCGGTCTGGGTCCGCCGACGGGGAAACTCCCTCACCATGTCTGAACGGAGGAGAAAGAAAACGTGATCTAAAAAGTATTTTTCTATTTAAGTCGTTAAGTTGGTGTCATTTTTGTTCCTGTACAATATTGACACCTGAATCCTGATTGGTGCATGAATGAATGAGCCACGAGTCCCAGTGAGAAGAGCTCAGGCAACATCTCAAACACAGATATATCTCATCTGGCATGACCATAAATGTTCATAATGGAGGGAATATTTGTGCTTTGATTCGTGGTAAAAAGCTGATAAAGAAATTAAGCATTCAGGGATTTCAAGACATATTCAGCTTCCAAATGAATTATTAAAACAGTGTATTCAAATAGATCATCGCCTACCGGCTAAGTAACAGCATTATTCATCCTCATTCTGTGCCACTTTACGAATAAAACGAGGCCTGAGGAGAAAAGGTCCCTTAAGATTCTCTACACGGATCGTAAACCGTCAGCATTTCCGTCATGAAGTCGATGCTGTAAAGACGCCGCTGCATTCAATAAATGACAATTAGGTCAAAATGTTTCGATAGTGACGGCGTATTTGTTATTCCAACATGTCAGTCTGTTGCTCTTGTATTTGTTTCCAGTCTCTGATCTTTGACATTTCCGTTTGAGTGGAATAAGTCGCAGCGGCACGAGTCAGGCAGAAGAGAAGAGACTCACATTGCAGTTCCCTGTGCAGGGCGATGGCGTCAGACTCCACCTCTTTCCCCGTCACCACGGACGACAGGGCCGCGACCTTTGCCCCTTCAGCGTCAGCTTGCATCTTGAAAGGAAAGACACGTGAGAGGAAACGCAACCTCAGTTTAACCCCTAACCCTCAGGCCCACTGAGGGGACATTAGTCTTTCAGGGTCACCCTTAGCGAGCGTGCTAACGTTTGCTAATTAGCAATAAACACAAAGCACAGCACAGGTTGATGAAAAGTTCTAAATTAGATTTTCTTGTATTTTTTGAAAAATCCTATTGAGGAATTAAAAGTATTAAGACACAAAGTCACGTATTAGATTTACTCACCTCACTAATGTCAACCATCACCTCCATCTTTTGGCCGGCAGCGTGTTTCAGAGGCTCCACCTCCTCTCTGATCTTACTGATGAGCTTGTCTTTCATCTGAATTTGCTGGTCCAGCTCTTCTTTTTGTTTTAGCAGGTCCTCCACCCACTAAACAGGAAGCACAAATACACCAAGCTTCAACCCCAAAAGAAGAAATCCCATTTTGCTTTCTTTGTGGGCTTCTAGAAAACACTGTGCCTTTAATCATCCCTTTTCAGGGGGCGAATTGGCCTATTTCTGTGTCCTTTTACAATGTTTTGTCTGCCCAGAGAGGCTGCTGTGTTTAATCACCCTCCCCTGGAATAACACGTACCCCCATGAGCAGCCAATCCTGGAAGGATCCTCTCTGCTGCGCCTTCTCAGTGTCCCCCTCTGCTTGCCAATTGTTAAATAAGGGGAAGATGATATGGAGGGAACTACCCACTCTCCAAAAGATGAGACACTGTGTCTGTACCTGTATATTAGCCTAGTTACATGTCCCGGAATGGTTCTTCTATCCAATATGTTCAGCTCTAATGAGACTAAATGATCCACAAATGGGTCTATAATGTAACATAATGGTGCTTATAATCCCATCCATGCACCGCATGTCCTGTCCACACTGACCCGTGTCGTACGGTCGGTTGGGGGGGTCTGGTCGGGCTCTGGCGAGGGGCCGGCGTCGGTCGGAGACATCTGATGTAAGGATGATGTGATGTTTCCCAGGGCGAGCTTTAAACCAGCAGCCTCCTCCTCCAGGGCCAGCTGCTCAGCGGCGGCGTCATTGACCCGTGACGTCAGGTCCGCCCTCTGCCGCCGCATTCGTGTTATCCTGAGACGGAAGACGCGGGAATGAAGGCCGGAGACATCGTGGTGCAATGTAAGTAACGCGATGGACCCAATTACACTTGATTTATAACTGTTAAAATGATGAACAGGGATTCTACGCTTCTCATTATGACTCATTGGAGCAAAACATATTTTACACACGATTCAGTTCATTCAATTTCACATCGTTGGTAAGACAAATTAAAAAACCCTCATAGTGTTGAAAATCAATATGAATGTGGGGGAAAGACAAGGCAGCCTTCTATATCTGAGTAAAGAGGATTAAAAGGTACGGCGGAAATTGTGCAGAGAAAGCATGATGAATTGTCGGGAGGTGTTGGGCACAGCGCGCTGGATGTTAAAGTGCCATTTTCATCACCTCCACAGCTGCAATAATATCCCATCTGTTTTGCCTCAACAGAGCAGGAACACGCAGAATCACAGCGTGACACTTTCTCTTCTCCTAATCCCGCATTCAGCAACGAGCTCACATTCTTCTCTGGGGTAGTTAAAATTATTCATGTACACAATGATTAATTTAAGCTCGCTAGTGGAGGATGAAGCCTTTCAAATCAGCCCGTAAGGCAAAGTTCCCGGGAACGTGAAAGTAAAAATACCACAATGTAAAACTACTTCATCAAAAGCGAAAGAAGTATTCGATTCAAAAGTAGAAAAAAAAAGCTCCTTCTGGAGAGAAATGGGCCCTGTGACAAATACATCTTACACTATATAGGAACGTTTCAACTGATGCATCAACGGCATTACTAATATTTCATTGTTATAGCTGATCATGGGTGAGTTTTGTTCCAAACCCTGAGTCTATGTCTAGCCCCCCAAAATTTTAAAGCCTTAATATCTGTGAAATAAATGTAGAGGAGTAAATATTAGAATATTTCTCTTTCAAACATGCCGGAGTCTTAAGTGGCAGAGAGTGGAAAACACGTTATTAAGCCAAAAACTGTATTCCAGAACAGCACTTGATCCCCAGAGTTACTTATCCAGCGGCAAAGTCACACACTTGTGCAGAGGTTTAATGTCACACTATTTCTGCCTTCTGCTTTCTGGATATAAAGGACGACGTGGGTTGTTGACAAACTGCTCAAACGTTTCTAAAAAGGATATAGTGGTCCTGACGGCAGCCCTGTAATAGTGTACCACATACAGGGCTATTGTTAGTGGCTGGTTGGGTCCTGTGGAAACACGTGTAGGAAATACGATTTTATGCCGTCCATCTGTGTATAAACTGCTCAATGCACATTCACACGCACACACACACACACACACACACTGTCATGCAGCAGCGGTTCAAAGATTAACAATGCTCTCCTGAACTGAGCTGACTACTCTTAGAAGAGGGTAATCAATTTCGAGTTCCTTGCTTCTTGCTCTCATCACGGCCACCGGAGGGCTTTTTGCATCCCTCCGTCTGGCATTCGGGATAATCCTCGGAGCAATCACACGCTAGGAGATGCAGCGAGCGCGCGGCAAATCCCAGAAAGCAATAGGCTTACGGCGGAGAGAAGCTGTCCCCCTGTGGCTAAATGTCTTACTCCTAAACTCCAATGTGCTTTAAAAAGGCTGCAGTGAAGACGAGGACCTCGAGGCGTTATGCGAGGATAGGTGCACTTTGTTAGAAATACGCCGCCAAAAAGCACAATAACCCAAGCGAGTCATGCAGCTTGTTTGGATTTTTCAACACGGGACGTCATGTGTGAACGGGAGACATTGTCTCTGCTCGTGCTCACTGCTCCGTAAGGTTCCCGGTGTACTCCTCCGTGGAGTTGTCCTGCAGGAGATCTGCCAGGAGACCCAGGGTCTGCTGCGAGACTCTGGCCGCCCTGCTGGCCACGGCCTCAATGTGGTCTGCAGTCTCTCCGTGGCTAAAAAGGATGAGGAGGAAGGGGGAAGACAAAGTGAAAGGATGAGGAAAACAGAGCATTACAACCGCCTGAGGGAGACTGAATGGATTTCGGCATCAGCGACTTCCCTCTGCAGTCCAGATTTCCGTAACTACCACACGATAATGCCGCAAACGGTGAGCGGCCAGGGGCATCGATTCACAGCGGCCCGACCCCAGTGTCGCTGACAGGCCGAAACACCACAGCAGAGAGAGGGGAGGTTCCACGGATTACCTCAGTGGCCTTTTCTTGTAATTGCTCCATTGATCTGTCCTTACCTTTTCATCAGGGCCCGCGAGTCATTGACCAAAATGTTCCATTTGTTGGGTTCTGACGGCACCTCAAAAGGAATGATCTAGGAAAAGAGGAAGAGAGGGAACGTGTTGAGCGGGCCTCCAAAAGGAAACGTCTGTCTTTAAAGAGACGTGGCACTTTTCACACGTGTATTTTGATAATCTGATAGTTAAGGATTTCTGAGCGTTTTTTTGAAGACGCTGTGCTGTTTGCTCGGAAAAATTTGAATCTGTTTGAAAGCAGTTATTTTTATGTGAACCCAGATAAGTAAACATAAACATAGATATAATGAAGGGTAGAAGTTAATTAGTTTTAGCTTCATTTGAGATGCTTTTCTGAACTACAAGCCTGGTGGCCTGTGGGTTGCTTCAATTCTACAAATAATAAAGCTCATCTAATGAGCCTCAACACTTAAGTATTTAAATGCAAAAGAGTTAAAAAAAAAAAGCCCCCTCAAAATAAATCCCCTAAAGTTTCACCCTGATAAATGGAACGTGTCGAATGCAGAATTCTTCCCCGAGTGACATTTCATTTGAGGAAATGCAAATAAAAATGGGAAAACTGAATCAACAAATTACAAACACGCATTTTTTCTTGATTTGGGTGGCTGCTCTGCTTATTAATACGGAATTAAATTGCCGCCGCTTTAGTCTTACCGGAGTGATAAGGGCTACAGAGGTACAATGTGCATAAACACAAACAGACACAAATAGAGAGTTATTAACTGGAAAACAAGCTCTGTCTCATCTCCCACAATCTGAAAAAAACTGCAGCATCCCTACAATAGAAAGGGTTCATTTTATCGTCCTTCACACAGTCCTTGGATTTTCCTTTAGAGGGAGACATTTGCCGGGAAAAGGGAGGAGGCGGGCGGAGGGTTCAGATGTGAATAAGAAATATTGTTTTGCCTCGAGGAAACTTTGTGTGTGATCGATACAGAGAAGCTCCACCAAGACGAGATACCTGCCGAATCCGGTAATAAGGACAACAAAAATGCAATGACTTTCACATTTCTTATTTCGCCTACCATGTTGTCCAGGTCCCGCGTTGCCTGCTTGAGCTGTTCCTGAGACGCCGTGACCATGAACGCGGTTTGTGTGAAGGTTTGACACGCGCCCTTGCTCCCTCCCTCCTTCCTCCTCTCCTTCCCCTCTTCCTCCGTCACGCTGATGCTGCAGTTCAGCGTGGATGTAATGCCGTGCAGCTGGGCTAAGAGTGTGCCGTGGGAAGCTTCGAGCAGCGAAAAATGTTTTATGAAGGCCTCCCGAGCCTCTGAAAGAAAGAACAAAGCAAAAGAAAAGTGAGAAAAAAAAATAAAACACGTTAAATCCTTCCACGGATTATTTTACCAAGAACATTATTCCTCCAAATCTTTGTGCCGAGAATGCAGTGACACATTTCTCATGCTCTTTGTGAATTCACACTCATCCTTTCTGTCTACCTGTTTCTACTCAGAACCCCCCCCCCCCCAAACCAGAGGGAATTAGGTCCACTTTAGTCACAGCCTCACTTTGTATTCAGCAGTTTTTCCAGTGTGACTGACTGTCTAGGCAATCTAGCGCTGAGTGCAATTAGTACAATATGTGTGGGTGTTTGTTGCCTCGCTGTGTTGCGTACTTTACTGGTCTCTTTGACTTTGTGTCACACAAAATGAGAGATAACAAGAGTGTGTGAGGCCCAGTGTGATTTCTTTGGCCCCCGAGAGGCTGTTGCTCCCACATTACTCATTACATCATTATTGGGCCACCTAGTGTCATAAAGGGCAGGGCTGCTAACTATAGGTGTGTATGTGTGTGTAAGTATGTGGGTGTCGGGAGGGAAGGCTGTAGCACAACTATTATTGTGATTGCAACTATGATCATAATAAACCGGGGATTAGAGATGCATCGGGTGTCACATAAATGGGGATTAAGTTGGTCACACAGCGCCTTGTTGTATATTGTTATGATTTGTCTCCATTTGGCCTGTGCAGCTGAGCCTGTAAGCCCTTTCCCCTGCAAAGATAATGAGGATATATCAGCATTGTGTTGGGTAATCGGGAGAGGTTAGCGTTGTTGCCTTCTTCCCGATTTAATCGCTTTGCTTTGTTTGATCTGTCACGGTGTCACAACGAGGCGACACACACACACACACGCGCGCGACGCCCGTCGTGGGGGCGGTTTCGCGTCCATTTTCTCGGCCGTGCCTGCTGGTCCTGTACATACTGATATGTCATGTTATCTTCTCGCTGCCAAAATGTGACAGGATGCTGCACGTGGCGTGGCCGCATGCAGGCGACATTAAAAGCGGCGACGGGCCGAGTGGAATCGCCTCGGGGGGTTCTGGCCGCTGTTACCTTGGAAGGCCAGGAAATCCTCCAGAGCATTGGGCAGAGCGTCCTCCCCCTGATCCCCGTGCTCATGCAGCCTGGCCATGGGATACTTCAGCAGCGGGTGCCGCTTCCCGGATCTACCACGGCAGTCAAAGTGAGCCAGAAGCTTCTCCAGATCCTGCAGGCGAGTCCTCATCTGTTCTGCCTGTCGGGAATTAGCACAGAGATTTAGCAGCTCAATGAGAGTCAATGAGTTTTTGGCCATTCCAAAACTACCCCAACTAAAATATATATCCATCCAGATGCGTTTATCTGTTCAGGCATTTGCTTCTTGGCACAGCACGACATTAAAATGTAGTATTTACAACAAAAAGCAATGAATAAATGAATACCAACAACAGAATAAAAGAAAGGCCAAAGAAAGCGCTCCAGAAGATAACTGGATGACACTTCTTAGGAAATTAAAATTTTCAGGTTTGAAAATTGAATTGATTGATTGAATTGAATTGATTGGCACCAATTTGTTGACCCTGGAAGAGAAACGGTCCCGACCTACAGAAGACCACCATGTAATCTCGCTGTGCGTACACTCCATCCATCCATCCATTGTCAAACCGCTTATCCTGCACACAGGGTCGCTGGAGTCCATCCCAGCCAACTTCGGGCGATAGACAGGGTACATCCTGGATTGGTCGCCAGCCAATCGCAGGGCTACACAGAGACATACAACCATTCACACTCACACATCTACGGGCAATTTAAAGTCCCCAATTAACCTGATCCCCAGAGCATGTCTTTGGACTGTGGGAGGAAGCCGGAGAACCCGGAGAGAACCCACGCAGACACGGGGAGAACATGCAGACTCCACACAGAAAGGCCACTGGGCGGAATCAAACCCAGGACCTTCTTGCTGTGAGGCAACAGTGCTAACCACCACGCCACCGTGCGTACACTGCTTTTAAAAAAAAAAAATCAGCTCGGCCGTATGTGTATTACGACGCAGGCGTAATCGTTTGCGACCAAGGTGAGAAATTAAGCTCATAGCTTCAGTCCGGTAATTCTGCTGATTGCATATTTCTGTCTTTTCCAACCTTTGCGCTTGTTGTTAGTCCCGTGTGCGAAAGCCATATGAACATTCTCGAGGGGGTAAGAGGTCCGAGAGGCAGGGAAGCAGAGCCGGGGGGGGGAGACGGGGGAGTAATTGCAGGTGTTCAGAGCAGGAAAAAGCCTCGGGCTGGCAACTGAATCTCTGATACGGTGGAAATCGCGGCGGGCATATTCACACGGGTACAAGTCGGTCCAGGGAGAACACACGGCCCCTATAACTGGGAGGAAGAAGGAGTTCTCAGAAAAGGACGGAACACTTCGGTGGTATTGGATTGACTTCAGGAGGCAAATCCATGCAGGGACGAAGTACCTTAGCGTCCAAATCTAAAGGGCCAGAAAGAAGCTGCCCAGGAGATCATTAGGGCAAATGTCTCTTTCTGTTCCACTGCACATCTTCCGTGTACTCGCAATCCACAAATACAAAGGGGCCATGCGGCTTTCGTGAAGGTCCACAAAGGCACAGTGTGCAGGAGGGGGGGGTCGGGCTATTTTAAGATGAAGCCACAGCATGGAGAGAGAGCCAAGATGGTGAGGGGCGGGGGAAACATTTGTGTTTTGGCCTGGTCCAAAAGGAAAAACACACAAAAGCAATCACAGACAACCATAAACTCACCTGCTTCTTGACGAGGCCGTAGCAGACGGGGCATTCCTCACACTGGTGCGTGGCGCTGCTGTGGAAGTAGTTCATCTCACATTTGTCACACTTGTAACCCACAAAGCCCTGGCGGCAGTGGCAGGTGCCGTTGCCGTGGCACTGCATCGAGACGGAGCCCATTGGGTCACAGTTACAGGCTGAGAGAGGACAGAGGGACCACAAGGACGGACGGGGAGGGGGCAGAGTTAAAAAACCTTTCTGTGTGAGCCGTATTGGATGCAATAAAGAATTAGAGGAGGTCACTTGGTGCAGTCGGGGTGCCTGTGGAGTGAAGGCCTGTACCTCTACACCCTCGGGACGAGAATCCAAAGAAGCCGACGCGGCAGGAGTCGCACAGCACGCCCTCCACTCCGGCGCGACACACGCACTGCCCTGTGGATGGGTGACACGCGGCGGAGGCTGAGCCAATCGGATTGCACTTGCACCTGAGAAAGGGCAGGGAAACATGTATATATTAGCTTCTGAGCTCAATCATTATGTCTCTCTGAAAAGAATCCAGCGAGTGCTCAAACGGTGACGTCATACCTCTCGCATCCTACACCTGGTTGCAGGTTGAAGAAGCCGCCATCGCAAGAACTGCAATCCCGTCCGGTCACATGACCGAGGCACTGGCATTCTCCCGTCTGAGGGTGGCACTCATTTACGCGTCCAGAGGTTCCTTTAGGATTGCAGCTGCACGCTAGAGGCAAACAATGGAAGTAGGACATAGTTAACTGCTAATATGCTTGTAATGTATCACCGTACCACAGATACATTTTTATTGATTTGATTCCAGAGTGCTTGAGGGAAAATTGGGTGAAATTGGCAGAGCCTTTTTTTTTATACTCATGAGTCGTGAAAGGCAACAGCTGCAAATGGGGTGAACAAATGACTGCGAGCCAGAAAGATAAAGAGAGTCTGAAGAGGGGGGGGGGGGGGGTTAAAATAAAAAAGAGGTGTAATTGAATAAAACACAGAAATAAAACTCCAAAGGCAGCAAGACACCCAAAGATGCTGTGATGTGCTCGTGCTCTGATTTGCTTCATAGTTCCGTGCGCCTCGGGTCAAAGCTCTGTACGGAATGATGTCAAGGAGAGATCTGTGAGTCTCCTACACCGAATTTGAACTCCTGATCCGTATGAAGGCACCACTCTCCGCGTTCCTTTCAAAAGCTACACCCAAGGCCATGTGGTTTTTAAGGGAATTCATCCATTTTCCTAGTACTTGACCCTGCTCATCAAAGGTCCAACGGAACAATCGGACTCCTAAAACGACATTGCTGGTGTGGAAGGTCAAACACAGAGTTTAACGACGTGTAAGCCCATTTTATCAGTGCTGTTCCACTTCACCAGCGTCATGCAGGAAAATACAACTCATCTCCTTCTCCATCCTTGATGGGAGTGAATTGGAGTCTCTCCTCGGTTACTCACGCTTGCACTTCTGCCCAGCGCTCTGGCTCCGGGCGTCGCCGTAGAAACCCCGCTGGCAGCGCTGGCAGCGGTCGCCCTCGGTGTGTCCCAGGCATTTCAGGCATTCCCCGGTCACGCGGTCACACGTTCCCAGCGCGTTGAAGTCCACGTTGCCGCTGCAGTCGCATCTCGCGCACGCCCGAGCTTCACCGGATTGTCCCAGGGGGTCGCCGTAGTAACCGTCTTCGCACATCTGACAGCGCATGCCTACACGGGGGCGAGGGAGGGGGAGGAAGGGAGGGGGAACAGGTGAAAGGAGCGGGGACGGGAACACCGTGGGAGACCGTTTCCCACGTTAACCTCGGACCGCGTCACAATCAAAGTCAAGAACCGACATCAGATGCGCGTGGATCACAGGCGGCGCTGTCGGATGACAGGCCCTGCAAACGAGCTCCGCAGCCTTTTCATCACCAGGCAGTCTGTTGCGAAAGCTCTCACCCCTTTGTTCGTGACACAAAGCCCATTATTTACTCCGCGGTGGCAGAATAAAATAATTTTCGCAGTCGGAGGTTCATCTCACCTGTCTGTCCTGCGGGGCAGTTGGTGCACACCACCTGTCCCGTTTTCGCAATTTCGGCACAGCTGGTGCGGCCCGGGCAGGGGCACGGCCGACAATCACCGGGCGTGCCAGTCACAGCGTTGCCGTGGTAACCAGCCCGGCAGCGCTCGCAGGTCATCCCGGCGGTGAAGTCGGAGCACTCGCACGCGCCTGCAACAAGGGGAGGAGTGCAACCATCACGCTCACGCACATGCACAGCTGCTTTCATGTGTTAATGCTTTCCACGCTGACAGGAGGGGAACGCGCAGGGTGTTTCCCTCGCCGCCGCCAGCAGAGTGCGCTGTGTCTCTGACCACGACTGGGCTGAATCCGTGCAAACAATTTACTTCAAAGTGCAGCCCGGAAAAAATGAAACACACACACACACACACACACACTCCACAGCCCACCACGCAGAGCGGAAGACAACCGAATTCCCACCCGGCTATAATTGCTTTGGGAAATATAAGAGCCAAATGAAGTCCGAAAGACCTTCAAGAAGTAAAGCAATTTGCCCACCAAGTGGGGGGAGATTACCAACTCTATGATGTCTTCACAAACACACTGGTTTCAAAAGCCTGACAAAAGCAACTCAAAGCTCTAAAGCGCTTTGGAGGATTCGATCTCGTGGAGCGCAGGTACACACGTCAAATCTCTGGGTAATTCTCCTCAGTTCATTATACCACATTTGAAATCTAGCAGGGTTCAGCCACTGAATGATATAGCGAGATAAACAGGTGAAATAATGAAAACAGGGACGAAGCCGACATCATGTCTGATGATGCCTGCGTGCGTTCTCGCTACGGCAACTTCTGTGACATAATACAATGTGGCCTTCTAATTTAACAACCGACTGACTAGAGCTCAAAGTGTTTACATCCTTGGGAAACCACAAAGAAAGAAGCAAAAGCCATGTAGCGCAGAAAATCACAAGATTAGACAATAAGCAGAGGGTCATTACATCTTGAACAGCGACATTTATGCCGCTTCAAATGTAATAAATAATAACTGCTGTTTTTGCTGCAAGAAGATATTCAGCATTCCTGCTGTGCTGCAGGTTCTTGGGCATTTAGTATTCACTGGGTGCCGGCAAACCAGAGAACTTGCAATCATTTGAATCCTTTTTAAAATTCCAAAGTTTCTGAAAAGACTTGATAACAATGATTATGTTGATTTTCTAGGGAACACTGATATCTTCTGGATGCAGAGCAAACAATTCGCGGGCGTGCGCTTTGACAGAGGCCTCATTAAAACGTCCCACCACTCCCTCGTTGCCCACGGTGGGATTCCTTCAAATCAGCTCACACCGCGGAGCACGGGAGGAAGAAATGATCGCTGCAAGACGTAGGGTCACTGCAACCCGAGGCCTGCTAACTTCAGACCTGCGATTAGGGAGCACGAGTACGCCGCCGCTCGATGAAGCGTAAACTCCTGGGGCGAGAAACCATTAGTTCCTCAGAAAGGTGAGGTGACTAAATGCATGACTTCCAAAGCGCGTAATGCCGCCGACTTAACAGTATTTAGTGGTGAGTGTTCTCGTGAAAGTGAATCTTTCTCTCTTTTTCACCATGCATTTCCATGCCACTGCTGGCGTGTCAGTGCCCGAACGAGCCATGGTGAGTGTAACGGCAGCGGAAATGTGCTGACTTTACTGGGTGTGAAGATGACTGAGCGTGATACGAGGCAGAGGAGCCACCGAGGGCCTCCTCCACACTATTATCATTCCATCGGCTCCCCGGTAGAAGCCAACGGCATGCATCACAAAGCGCCCGGCTCCCCCGCATGATATCCCTCATCGTCACGCTAATCATCATCACTTCCCAACATCCCCGCAGAATCTTTTTTTTTTTCTTTCAACGAATCCACGAGCGTTCGTTCAGCCTTAATGATTCGGGATTACGGCGGAGCTCCCCTCGGCGCCGCACACTTCCAACAAATCCACGCGATCCGGCTATTTCGCTCCCGCCCGGCCCTCACGTACTCCCCCCCCCCTCACCCCCACCCCCCACCCCCCGTCAGCTATGGAGCACTGCACCTCAGCTCTCCGCTCTCTGCCTGAACTCTGCTCGTCTGTTGTGCGATGGCGGAGCAATAATTCTGTATGGGAGACAAGCCGTCTGGAGGTGTGTGTGTGTGTGTGTGTGTCTGAGACACCCATCACACTCCACAGAGCTCCTTTCCACCTGCCCCTCGTCCCTGCACTCCTCATCGAGCTCTCTGAAGAAACACACTCACGCGTCCAGGTCTAATGCACTTCATTAGGGAAGCCACTTGTGGAGGGGAGGAATGAATACATCAACGCATCACAGCCGCCGGGGCCCCGCTGAGGCGCTTTCACAACAAATGGGGGTTGCCGTAAACTTTTTTTTTCTTTTTCTTCCCCCTCCACATTTCCCTCATTGAGTGTGTTTACACTCGTGCGTCATTCGGGGTTCCTCGCAGACCAAACGCATCGAGTAGCTCCTCAGAAGATGGCTGGTTATCGTTGTCTGCAGTAGCTTGTAAAGGCTCCGAGGCCAGATGGCGACGGGAAAAGAGGGGAAAGGAATTACGAAGAGAAATGGATGTTAAACACGTGTGCGTTTGTTTAGGAGAAGATAAGAGCGGGCCTCTCTTCTGTTATTACATTATCGCCACGATAATCCAATTTATTTACTGACCAAATTGAGTCGCTAAAGATCGTTGCATGTCCTTGGGCGCCGTCCTGGGAGGTCTCCCCCCCCCCCCCCCGGACGAGAGGGGCAATGTGTGGGGTCTCTGATTATACGCGAGCGCAGAAATAGAAGAGAAAACAAGTCGGCAGTTCAAAGCAACACATACGCGGTATGTGAGTAATGTGACGTCTACGGCTACTTTGTGCTTCCACGCGATTACCAGAGACCTTCACGGAAAGAATAGTTTATTTCACAGACACAGCACGAATGTGAAATCCGAAACATGAGCTTTTCATCACATATTTTCCATGAGGCTTGTCTACTTTGCCCGGCGGAACATTAAAACAGCTCCGGGGCCACGGAAATGTATTTACTAATGCATGCAAACGGCCTGTTTTAATGAAGGAGAGGCAGAGAGAGGGAAAGTGGGTCTGCAGCTCTGAGGCCTCCGGGGGTGAAAGTTGGGGAGTGTTGGATGGGGATGCCGCTTTCTAATTTACCACAGATGGGCGGGGTCGGGGGTCGGGGGAGGGGTTACTGCAGAGGACAGGATGTCAAGGGAAGGGAGTAGGGGTTGTGTATTCCGTCCACTCGCACTGACAGTGTACACAACATGGAGGACTGGGGAATATATGTTTTGTCGTAGCGTGACTACGTAATAAAGGCATCAATTCATGTGTCGCGTGTAGCGGCTGTCAGCCAAATTGTTCCGTCCGTGGCCCCCCCGGGGAGCAGGGATGGAAACAGCAGGGATGGAAGCAGGGATGGTTGTATTTCATGCTGCGTCGCTCCGGGTCACCAAGTTGTTGTGGGGGTGCTGGATAAACAATGCACTGTGTGTTCTACTCTGAATCAAATGTCATTGCACTTTTATTTATTTTATTTTATTTTTGGAGTTTTTCCGGCCACTCTAGTAGATCAAAATTGGTCCTAGACGCAGATCCGGATGTTGGATGAAGCTTCCTACAGTCATTCAGTCCACAGATGATGAATCCTTTGGCGAAAACAACTGACCCTTAATTTAGTGCCACCTGCGACGTATCGCATCCACTGGACGGATGTGCACAAACAGATGATGCATCTTCACGGTACATTTTCTATCACACCGCCGGAGTCGCCTCCCATTGGTTAAACATGATTTATGATTAACTGTCCAAGCAGGAGCTTCTCTGTAAGGAGGTGTTGTTTTTGTACAACTCGGTACCTGGTAAGGCCTCTGTTTTGAGTTACTTGGGGGCCTATTTTGTGTAAGTACATCAATCACAGTCCTAGTGAGGTAATAAAAACGTCTTGGCGCCTCTCTCTGCTATGTTACGAATACACTTTCAGGTTATATATGTTTTTCTTCTGTTACTGGTACACGATGCCATCATGCATAGTAATTTACACTCGGACATTCTTTCATGAGCAAACAACCCCCCCCCCCCAAAAATGAACACCCCCTTCAGTATCTCAGGTTCTTAACTTCCTTATCTAGTCTTGATATCTTTCTGTGATTGTCAAAAACTGTCCCCTTTACTGGCTGCGGAGACACCGAGCCGCTCTGTGTGAAGAGTCTCAGAGAAAGTGTGTATTCACGAACCCCCCCGCGGTGATGAAGGGCCAGTTCAGAGACAGTGGAATGCCTCTGAAGCAGTTACCCGCGGTGACAGGCGGACCCGCGACGGTTTAATCCACTCGGGTCGATCCAACCTCGCTGCACCATCCAATGGAACATTTCTGGATACCACAAACGGCTTTGGTGATGTCCATAATGAGGTCAAAACTTAAAAGTTTGGCTTCATTAGCACAGCTCTTGGATTTGACTTTTAAGTTCTAAATGAAGTGTAAGGCACAACATCTCTAATTCCTGTTTTCCTTTCTATCCGCGGCCACAACATGGAAGAACATGTGTTGCCTGTAGCTTTCGCTGCAGGATGCAGTGTGTAGTTGTTCTTTTCCGAGGTTTTCATCAGAGGGAAAAGGTTAAAGCCTTTTTCAAATCAACAGCCTCTGACAGTGTGACTCGGGAACCAAGGCAGGCCGACGGAGTGCGCGCATTGTTTATCCCTCTGTTTATTTTGGTGTAAAATAAACGCGCCGGTTGTGAGGAGATAAGTGAAGCGTGCTGAATAGGATCAGCGGGAGAAATGACACGCTGCGATTCATTCTAACTTACTACATCTGTCTTTCTCTGCTCTTTCCTCACTTCTTTTCCCCCCCTCGCTGTCGCTCCTCACATCCCATCCCGCTGGTGCAGGCCAGGCATCTTAGGGCTTAGCCTGCAACAAACCACCAGAGAGATTAGGGAGCCAAATAAGCCAGCGCTAGAGCCGGCGTCACTCTCACCATCAGTTTGTGCGCCTCAACTTTCCCTTATACATTGCCTCACTAATAACTAATGACCTTTGGGAGCTAAAGATGGCATTTAAGCAGAAATTTGGGAAATGCACGCCGTGGTATTCTCGTAAAGCCGCCCTTTGTTGCAGCAATCTGCACGACTCTAGTGACCACTGCATGTGTGCAGCATTTTGGTCATTTCTTCATCTGCACCCTAATTTATGAAACGAGACAGCAACTCTTGGTACTGTCTTTTTTTTTTTTTTGGACCATTTCATTGCATTTTGTTGCAGAAGCAACAAAGACCTCCTTCAAAGACCAGGAACTAAGGAGAAGCTGCTGTTTTCCCTCCACCACCACACTGCGGTGGGCGTGACATTTAGCTATGCTAAATCATTGTGCATTGTTCAGAAAAATTGGCCCTGCACAAATGTCATAGTGAGAAACACGGATGGGCTGTTGTAAAGGACAACAAGGAACCGTATTTATTCTGGGCTTGCACATGCTAAACTCTAGCTGGCCTTCTTAACCGCCGCGATAGATCATCATCTATATCCAGTGTCAAAAACTGGGTTTTAATTGAAGTCTATGCCTTGGTCGCTGGATGTTTGTACACACCCAAAGAAAGATCGCTTGGATCGATCCACTTCTAACCTCTCACGCACAATACAATGTGTCACTGGGAGTAAGAGAAGAGAAAATTAACCGTGAGATTCCCTCGGTTCGGCACAATAATAAGCGCTCCCCTACAGTGTGGGTCGGGCTGAAAATGGACTCTCTCCATTTAAATCTATGCAAAACAATCAACTTGTTCCTCCCTCATCCATCCACCTTATAAATAATGCCCTCTGCCCTGTTTGATGGACTGTGTGTGTGCCGTTGACACTGCACTGCCACGAAGCATGTCATAGTCAGTGGTGACACTGAAGCTCCGAGAACACACGAGCAGCACACACTTTCTGTTGTTGCTGAAGGACGCGTTGTTGTGCCTTCGCCGACCCCGCAGCACAAGTGCGGTGCAGAAACCCGCTCGCGCCACCACCAATATTAACATTCGCAATCTGTTGTGTTGCGCTACAGCAAATAGAGCCGACACGACTCAGAGAGCGTTAATAAATCATGATTGGGAATCGGCTTCCCTCGGCAGCCGGTGAATAAACTCCATCCCCATTTCGGTCTGCGGGCACACACAGCATGGTGATACAAGTCGTTAGGCAATTATACAGCAATTAAGATTCTGATAGGAGAAACAGCAGGTTGGTCCGCCCACTTGGTGACAAATGATGAACAGGGTTTTTCCAATCAACTTATCTTGATAGTTCCTAAAGACCTAAACTTAGATTTCTATGGAGCGGGTCTTTTTTTTAATTTAAGGTGAGCCAGCCGACTGTCAGGAGATGAGATGCCAGAATGAGCCATTGGAAAAAAAGACAAGCTAATTTTAACTTCCTTGCAGATAGTCAGCTAATGCTGTTCAAACCGAGAGAGCGTCGTGCCAAAGAACACAACGAGCAAAGGAATTTTTATTCCGTGACTCAGAGGACACATCGCGTTCTTCAACACCCTTGAATATTTCTAAAGCAATAAAGCGAGTGTGTGTTTGTGGGTGTATGAGAAATCTTCACAGCCTGTGGGGACTCGTCAGGTGTGAACTTTGTTCGAATGATAAATGCAGCTGAGCTCAACCTGCAGGTTAAACTGCTTCATTAATAAACTCACATTTTCATTTTTAAAATAAAAACTCTTTCAATATTCCTGAGCAGCAGGGAAACCAAATAAACAAACTTTTCTGTTTTAATCAGACCACTCTTCCTCTCACATCTGCTCTCGAATTCAGGTTGAAGTCACTGAATCCTGCTCTTCATCAAAGCACTTCCAAATTACAACTGTGCAACTGTGTCAATGAAAGACAGAAAGGATGTGCGAGGAGAGGAAACTTGAGGGGAGTCTGCACAGAAGGGAGTCAAGGGCGCTAAAAACAAAGTCAAGGTGACTGGGGAGAGCAGGTGCAATCCTTGCTGAGAGGAAGAACGGAGCCAGAGAGGGGCTGACTAGGGAGTCTGGGGAACAAGTGTGTGTGTGTGTGTGAGAGAGACAGAGACGGAGGGAGACATCCAGATTGAGAAGGAACACAAGACACACAGGAAATCTGCAAGCAAATTAGACATCATTAGCCAAGAGGCGGCTAACAAGTCTAATTAGGGGGGAAGCAGGCAGGCAGTGATACCAGACTTGCTTCCGGACCTCAGATGCACACACAGTCCAAGAAACACACACAGACACACAGAGTCGCAAAGCGCACTCACAGCCAAAGCTTCAGGCATCTCCTAACTAGGTCAGATCTCTGATACTTTAAGTCTGAGGGTAGGAGGCAAAGATAAAGAGGAAGAGAGAGATTGAGGAAAGATAAAAGATGGTGGGACGTCGGATGGGAGAGTTGTCTGTTCTTGGTGAGACGGAGGGGACTTATTTAAAGGTGTGAGAGGGAGATAGCGTGGAAAAGACGTATAAATAACTGCGTAGAGGTTGACTTGTTTACAAACCCAACAGCTGCTGTTTTTATTTCTGTCATTTACGGGGCGTTACGTTTAGGATATGAATCTGGGAGAATAGTGCAGCTGCTGTTATCGCCCATAAAGATGTCAACTGTGTTAAATACACACGCCTACAGTGGTTTAGCTGTTATTATACTGATTTCCTGTGTGAAACGGGGGTATTGCTTTTCTAGCACAGCGATCCAGTTCCCAGTTTGAGTGATAGCTTGCCAATACACCTGAGGGATGACTGAGCCGCGTTCCCTTGAAGCGATGATGACTGAACGTCGGCTCCGGGAAGACACAGAAAAATGGCTTCAGTCGAACAGCCCGCGTCTCTTTCTGTTCCCTCTGCTCACTCACAGGGCGCGGTGACAGGAAATGTTGTCTCAACGACTTCTGATGATCCCTCATCTCACGGAATGCCGGCTGAGCGCGACGGCGGCGTTTACTAACTAGCAGCTCGGATGGGTTTAATATTCCACGCACCGACACGCTGTGTTTGACGATGAGCTACGCTCGTTGTCATCCGCGATGCTATTAGTGCTAATAGTTTGAGAGTTGGACTCCCGGACGATTTCGCCTGTGAAATTCTAAATGTAAACAACTACGACTCTTCTGTCTTTCCATGTGGAACTTTGGCGAGCGGTGAAACTGTGAATGCTGTGCAACGTTAAAGCTACCATGGAAACCGTTTTGTTATATTTGTAAAAATATGGTACCTGTGGCGGTTGGAGTGCTGTAATAAACTGTAAATGTAAAACGGCAATGACTCTACCTGCCCGTCTACTTTCTGTCCTTTCTGTACTCTGCCTGCTGTGAGAGCTACATTATGTCAGGAAGGTACGTGGAAGGCAGGACTCAAACGCAGAGTTTTCCAAAAGCAAAAAGACTTTAATCGTCAAAAAAGATTTTTAAAAGCAAAAGGCCAAGGGGCACAAACGGAGACACGAGAACAAGAACAAGAACGTGAACATGGACATGGACTCGGACTCGGACTTCCATACATTAAACAATGACGCAACCAGTGACAACAGACACACATGGCTTAAATACACTAGGGAGGTGCAGGTGATTGGAAACAGCTGGGAACAATCATGACATGACAGACAATCACAGGGGAAGACAGGACAAGGCAGGAAGTGACGTGACCCAGGGAGAACAGAGGCAAGAAACTACAAAATAAAACCAGACATGAACACATTAGGCATATTTCTTGTTCATATTCATAGTGATGATTTCGGGGAAATGGCTAAATTTGGTTGTGGCAACAAATGTCAGTATGCACACATGTATTTCAATACAGTGATGCACGTAACACACAAACCTTCACTCATCTCACCTGTCTCTGGGTGGCAGGTTCCGTGCTGGTGGCAGTTGCATGGCACACACGTGGAGAGAGGCCCCCTGGCGGAGTCTTCCCGGGTGAAGCCTGGGGCACAGCGCTCGCAAAACTGGCCCGTAAACGCCGGGGGGCAGGAACAGGACTCCACCCACGGGGCAGGAGGGTGGGCGGCGCCGGAGGGGACGAGAGCCGAGGTCAGGGTGACCCCCGCGAGCTGCGACGTGTCTGGAGGGGGGGGGGCGGAGAGATCGCTTTGACTCAAAAGTGATGCCAAAAGTCAGTGGTGAACTGTCCCGTTGCTGTTGAAGTGCCTGAGTGGACACGTGCGTGTCTGCCCGCGTCCCCTGCGTGTCTCGTTAAGCGGCCGGCGATTAGCGCTTGTTTGCAGTGCCGTCCTCCCCTCCCTTTGTCATTACAGGTTCTGGCCTGTGTTTACAGTTAACCGTCTGACACACACCCACACGAACGCACAAAATCACACACAATAACAGATTCCACCACCCACCCACCCGTAAATGCCGCACATAATGCTTACTTTCACACGTAGGGGAGCTGCGCCTGCGCCCACACACGTGCGCCCGTCACCCGGGGAATCTTTGATAGAGCAAATGAATAAATCACGGCAGCAGAGCAAGACAAGAAGAAAAGGAGACGGGAGACTCGGTGGAGGTTTGTCAGACGTGCGGCTCCTGTGGGCTCCGGGATCGCTCTCTCCTCTCATGAATAGTGATGGCGGCAGGCCATCCTGAACCCAATCCCTTTCCCCCTGCACTCTACCAAACACGCACAAAGTGACTTTTGTCCCCCCCCCCCCTCCTCCACCTCCCTGAGGAAGCACGAGAAGGACGGACGGATGGATGGATGGATGCATGCGTCGAATGCCGCGCACGTCCCGCCGCGTCGCTTTGTCCGATAAGGAACGGACCGTCAGCGAATAGGTGGCTGCATAATGAGGGGCAGAAGATCCGGGGGAGAAGGTGGACCACGACTTCTAAGAAGTCTTGGTGCTTCAGTGTTGATGAAACTCGGGTCATTTGCACCTCTGAGGGAGAATCAGCAGGCACGCCGTGTCCTCTTCCCTCTGCGTGACTCGCCTCATCCTCTACCCTTTACTCCCTTCTACCTCTTGAATTCTATTAGCCCATTCAACGGGGAAGAGGGCAATTAAAACAATATTCAGAAACTAAACACTCTACGCAGTTAATTAAAAGGATTTCATTATTAAAGTCATGCTGTGCAAAATCGAGCCATCAATCGTTTCTACAAAGCTTGTCGGACAAGTCCAGATTTATTTCCTTGAATCTCTAATGGCTCACTGCCCCTGCGGACTGTGAATGTTTAGCTCTTTTTAGGTGCCTTTATCATTAACGCCATTGATCATAAACTCCTAATGAGGCTATACTCTTTTTTTCTCTTTTTTACTCTTTTTTTAGTTGTAAGGCCTTTCCTGTGACGGCTGTCAGAGCCTGTCTTTATAGCCTCGGGGACAACGCACATTAAAACAACGCAGCTCCGTCTGAGAGAAACTTAAAGAAGAAGGAGAATGTGAGAGGGGTGGAGGAAAAGGATGGGCTAAGACAGCTCGGTGGGAAATGAAAGGTTGCTGCGCGCCGCCCGCAGAGAGGAGGCACTTGTAGCACAGTGTGTGAGACTTTGCACAAACCATTAACAGAGCTTCTCCCCTGTGATGCGCGGTGGATGCAGCGCAAACTGTGTGCTTGACTTTGTTTGCACGCACCACGTGGGTGGGTGCTTACAGGAAACAGTTTGACGGAATATGCATGACCGGGCTTCGGCTTCTGTGTACTCGAGACTTCCGCGCCGTTCTTTTTTGCGGGTGCACGGGGGAAACGCCACGGCAGTGTGCGTCGCGACGCTCTGCGCCGAGCAACTGGTTAAAGTGGCGTGAGTACGTGGGCGGGAGCTGGTGATTTTCGACCAGCTGTTCCAGGGTTCATGGCGCTCAGAGCCTCAAAGCTCCTGCCCTGTGCTTCACAATACAGACTATCGGTTGGAGAAGGAGCAGCGACGCGTGGGGAGAAAAAAAGGACGATTTCGTGAAATAGTTGCTAGCATCTGGGAATAAATGTCCCGTTCTTTGGTGAGCCGGATCTGGAACGGTTGAACTATTCCCCCGAGCACAGGCGCTGACATTGTTTCGTAACTATTTTTGGTGCAGCTGTAGCTGCTGTGTGATGTCAATGTATATTTGATTAACACAAATGGGAAGGTTTTGAATTCTTCCTGTGGAGCTTTGATTTTTCGCAGATATTGTGCTTTTGGAGAAGATAAGTCTTTATTTTTCAACCATGCATATGTTGCACACACAACCGGACACCCCTAGAATGTGTGTGGATGATGAAAATAGAGAAAAATGACGCTTACAGTTGTGTCCTCCGGCGTTGCTGATTCTGAGCGCCGTCAGGTTGTTAAGGAGTTGTTGGAACGCAGAGGCAGACAAAGGAGGTTGGAATCTCATCTCGTTTTCATGAAGCCTGCGAGACCAGAACACACAAGAACAGTAACAGTAACAGTACATTCACATGCTAACACACTGGGATTAGATCAGATTATCAACAACTGAAGTGGTTTTCAGAGCAATTTAATTGCTCCCCGCGGCTGAGAAGACGCCGCATGACGTCACAAATGTGCTCGACCTTTTTCACGGTCGGCTATCTGCAGCACCGCAGCACAACAGAAACATTGAATTGTGCTGACTTCGACACATATTCAGGGTCTCGATCACTGATCTTCGCCATCTGCTGAGCGATGTTCAGCTTCACAGCTGACATCTGCCCGTTTCGTTCCAGGAATCGCTCACTTTCTCCGCCTTGATGAGACGGTGCCGAGTCGGCTCCTACGCAGGCAGCGTTACGTTTTCTCTCAGTAACGTCGCAAGGCCCCGAGTGAGCTGCAGGATGAACAGATGCATGCGATCGCAAGTGTACGAAACACTAGTACAGTAGAAGTTAGTATTTTCTCTCTTATTAAGACAACTCAAAATTGTCTCAATTTCTAATTGCAGCTGTTTTAATGACTGGATTTCGGTCCAGGTGGTCTACAGCTCTTTTTTTTTCTTTACAAGCAGGAAGTACCAGCAATTTGTGGCCACTCAACTGTGGTGCTAAAGTGGCATTCCTTCAGAATCCCCAGATGAAGAAACGCAGACTTTTCATCAAGCCTCCGATCACTTCACCGGCCCCTTAAGAATCGCCGTTACAACTTATAAAGCAACATGAGTGGCACCCAATTATGATATACGGACCTTGTAACCATAAAAGAATGAAGTGCAAAGCCTTCAGTTTGTTGAGCGCATCGGCCTCGGTCAGGCCTTTTGCTGTGTGAGTCTTTCATGGCCTCTCTTTTATCAGGTCAACGGTTCTCAACGCGACACTAATTCACTTTCTAAATGTTTTTTTTTTTTTGTACATCGCGTCAGCATTCACACTTCTTGGTGTGTGTGTGTGTGTGTGTGTGTGTGTGTGTGTGTGTGACCCTCCGTTGGTGCGGCGGGTCCTTGTTCCTTGGCCCGACATGTAGACACAGTAATAAAAAGAGGCAATTACAAACTGGGCCTCAAAGCCATGGTAATGGAGCTGGTCAGGCAGAGATAAGCAGAGTGTGCATGAAAGTGAACAAACTCCCAGTCACGCTTTCCCGATGGAGCGTCAGCGTCCCTTTTAATCAGCACCAAGCAGAGCGCCTGAGAGCCGCTCTGTAATTAAGCCCGCTCCGCCGAGGATGAGAAGAGATCATCGGGGAGAGAAAAGCCGAGAAGGAAACCCGGACACACACACACACACACACACACACACACACACACACACACACACACACACACATCATCATCATAAGTATCAACACATCATAAGTACCCTAAGAGAGAAAACAGAGATAGAGATACAAGCCGAGGAAGACAGTGAGACATGAAAGGAGCGTTGGAGACAAAACGGGAGATAGAGAAATTTCTATTCGAAATTTTTTATTTAAATACAACCTGCATGGGGATAAATCATGACAAATTACAATCGCATATTTTAATTTTTCATTTGGTTGTGAAAACCCCCCAATTTTATTTAGATTGTCAGTACAGATGATAAAACGGTCTATGGCATCCAACCTTGGTACCACAGTGGCTCTCTGATCCTTACAAGTCAAATTTAGTTACGCCTGGTTGTTGCCCCTTATCGCTACGTCTCAAGCAACGTGCATCCATTAAAGTTTCTGACAATAAACTGTAAATGTGATTATTGACGTAAAATACAACAACTCTCAGAGGTCTATCCGAGCACATGGTGACTTCAGTGACTTCTTTTCTTCTTCCGTGGCAGTATTGGGCCTTTTTTCTCCTCAATATATTTTGCTGACTCTGATCTTTGAGGGTGAATTTTGAAAACACGACAGAAAGGAGCTCAGGGCCAGACGGGCCGCGTGCCTGCACCACCAGGGCTCTGCTGACTCCCGCGAACCTGCTCGTACCTTTTAAAGGCACTCGCACAAGTGGGCGCCTCAACCCTTCTGTCGCCGGCGGCAGCCGCAAACAGCTGATCACAGTATGTACGGCGTTAATCATCCGCGGGGATCCTTATGGCATAAATATGGTGCCGCAGAAGTAAACATATGGCTGCAAACAAGGCGGTAAGGACCTTCCCGCCTACCGGTTTCATGGGAACACAGGGGACATTATATAAGCCACCTCCTCTTCTCATCGGTCCCACTGCGCTCAAATCCCCACGCATCCATACGTTCATCCTTCATCTGACGCTGAAATGATCTCATGAAGAGGGACGTGATCAAACGTGTGTGTGTGTGTTTCTCCTCGTGTTCATCTATGCTTCCAATTGCCTCGAGCCAAGCGCTTGCAGAAGCGTACATAGGAGCAAAGGCAGGAGTCATCTGTGCATGCACCTGAGATGTGTAATGACTCCTCTCTGCACCCCCCCACCCCCCTCACCGTGCTCCAGGGCGTTTCAGAGAAGGAACCGAATAGCCTCTTTAGCTCATGGCGTTAAGGGGAAACTCATTACTAGGCGTGGAAATATTGGAGGGGACAGGAAGACACAAGCTGTGCCCCAGTTCAGGGGCCAAATCCTCTAATGGAGCGAGAAAGGACGCTGTTGACCTGAAGAGCTTCCACCCAATATCCACACAACATCTAAAACATCTGAAAGTCAAATATTTACATTTATTTATTCATCACCAGGAAGGGGGCCTAATTAAAATTAAATGTCCAGTTCCATATTAATTGTTTTTTTTTTACCGCAGCACGTAGCTCTTACAAACTTTTGTAATATTTAAATGTTTAAAGCACGTTTCGCTGTACCGAGATGCCTTAACACACATCCACTCTGCTAACGGTAAAAATGCTCATATATGTGGACATTTGTTCCTGGTTTTCATTTTTTCACGGTATTTGGAACAACACGATGAGAACTGTTACTGATTTAAAGATTTCAACATGTACTCAATATCACAAATGAAAAGCCTATGGTGGTTGTATAAAGTTAATGCCCTAAGTGGTGGACTGAGCAGACCAGTAGGACCTCTAGAGCTAAGCTAGCTAGCTACATGCATTCATATACAATAGAGCAACTCAATGTGCAGTCAAAGCGAAATATTCCACACCAAAGCAGAGATTGTTCCGTCACACTTCCATCACTTTGCCAGGATCAACGTGTCTCTTTTACCCACTTTGCTGAAAGCAATTTCTATAAGACTGTCCAGTCCTTTTGGGTTTTCCAAAGTGTACTGACTCCGGCACCAAACTGCCAACTGTGGTAATGTGAATCTAGACAATGTGTTCAAAAACCTTTAAGAAGTGTCATCTATCGTTTATCTGAGTGCATAGTAAGCATGAACCACCTCTAAACATCAGGCTAAAAACGTCTTTTCTACGTTACTAATACATGATATCATGAAGCAGCGGGAGCCCTTCCTCACGACCACAACAACACTCTGCAGGTACACGCTTCACAAACCCCCCCCCCCCGCAGCCAGACTTTGGCCAGCGCTTGGCTCATATATTAAACATACCCCATCCCCACTAGCAAAGGTCACCGCACTCCGGTGCTGTAACTTTCTGTACGGTTTCTGCAGCTTCTTTAAAATGGAACACGGCCCTTCTCCTTTCGGTTCCTTTCAACAGCTGCCAGCAGGCGGCTGCCCGTTGTTAACACAACGGAAGGAGTGTGATCCCAGATGTATGCGGAGGAACTGCTGGACAGCGTTCAGCTGACGGACTGGAATGTTCTCCTGCTCCCCGGGCCGCATAGCGATTCCACGCGTACCCTTCAGTGCCATTAAACATTTGCTCTTTTTCTGCGGTTTTCTTTAAAAAAAACAAAAAAAAAACAACAACAAAAAAGAAAAATATAATCCCACTTTAGGGGAGAAGAGCTGGCTGCAGGGATGAAGTTGTGTAGTTCTGCGTGTGCCGTGGAGGAGAATTACAGCATTAAAGAAACACTGGGGCGAAATTGAATACAAATTGCTGCAAAGGGAAGTGTGAAGGAGGTGCTGAGTGGGATGAGGAGGATTACTGGCTGCAGGACGCCATGCCAAGTGGGGGAAGAGAACAAAAACACAGAGAGAATGACTTAAGTCTGTTCTCAACAGGTTAAATCCGAAGACCGGGACCAGCTTTACCCACCTCCGCGAGCTGAAGGACGATGAGCTCCTTCTCTCTCTCTCTCTCTCTCCCTAACAACACCACTGATTACGCTACCCGCATCCCCACGGGCCGCCACTTCAGCTCCAATCACTCCTGCCTCCGCATTGACCACTTCACATTGAAGGGCGAGAAGAAACAAAAGACAGAGAGAGAGAGAGAGAAAGAAGGAGAGAGCAAAGTGTAGCCGAGCAGGTAGAGGACTTCAAGCAAGGAGAGTGCCGCTGGAACAGTCGGCAGTGCATTTGGGGGCGACAGTCGGTCTCATCGACAAATTGGACGTGTGTCGCAACACGGGCGAAGAGAGTAGGCGGTTCTCTCGAGGAGGGAACTACATGTTCTAGCACAGTCTGCCTTTTTTTTTTGGCTGAAGGAAATAGCTCAAGATTTGTCTTTCAGTCAGTACCCACGTGCCAATATGTGCATTGGGAGGATTACTGAGGGCTGCTGCAGCTGACCACATATCCGTAAATGCATCTTATTATTACCGTGGAATTATATCATATATTTAAAACCAGTGCAAATCAATCCAACATGTTGAAATATTGTTAAAAATGAACAAATGAACATAATAAAGAAAAAAGTGATGGCACAGGACAACTATCATTCAATCCTATGATGTAGCGCTTTAGGAGCCATGTAGGAACAAACCACAATGTCAACGCCGATCGGCAATGTGGAAAACAATAGACCGATCCAGAAAACTCAGAAACACGGACCCAGACATGGATTTAAACATTCAACACTTAGACGATTAGGAAGTCTGCTTACTTTCACATTGAGAATATATCAAGGATTAACGCCAGACTTATGTCTGAGCAGGATTTGGATCCTTGGATTTTACTTCAGTAGACTCGACTACTGTCACGGTGCATTCACAGGTCTCCTTTAGAAAATAGATTAGACTGCTGCAGACTTTCTGTTTGCTGCAGACTTTTATACCATTACGTCTTATTACTTTCCCGTCGCTCCTAAATGCATATTTTTTGTTATATAAAAATGTCCTTTTACAGTATTTCTTTTGCACTTTTTTCTCTAAATGTTTTATGTAAAGGGCTTTTAATTGGTTCATTGCTGCAATGCGCAACGTAAATAAACTTGCCTGGCTTTAGTACGACTTTCCCAACAGAGAGGATAATTGACTGTCGAGAACACAAACAAACGATTACAAATGCCACGCACAAATCTTTATGTAATCTAACATGAGACAACAAGAAAACATAAACTACAGACTGCCAGCCGTGAGTTAAGTAAACATCATCAGCTCTGTGACAGGAACTGTATCACAGCTTGATCTTGATTGCTACAGTTTGCAAAGAGGTGCTGCAGCCTTTGAATCATAACAGAATCTTTATCTTGAATAATAACGACCATTGTAAGGCCACAAGATAATGTTGAAACATTTATAATATATATATATATTTGTATTTATATTTCTCTGTCCATGTGCTAATGAAGCTGTATGGATGTGATCTTGTAGGTGTGGGCGGCTTCAGAATGCATTTTTTGTATTTTGTTAACAGCAAAGTGCTGTGGTGTGAAAAGATCTAACTCAGACATTCACGGATGAAAAAAATCTGCAGACATCTTTTAATTCAAACATAACTTTAATCAGGCTGTACGGAGCCATTAAGCTCTGTACAGCCTGAGTCTGAGACACACTATAATTCCCTTCAGGAATATGTCACACTAAAAAGACCTCTACAGTTACTTCATGTACCTGCATGTGCACACTCAGAGCAGCATATATTAGATTAAATAAGGTATACATCTCTTTTTTGCAATATATATGTATATATATATACACACACACACACACATTTTTCATGTGTACTTTTACACAAATATTGCGTTAGGAATATGTAAAATAATAAATTGCCAAAACAAACACATAACACTGTCGTATACTTTTTTAACTTGAACGGAAATTAATCAATAAGCGAATCATGTGTGTGGGAACTCTGACATCAAAACACATTTATTTGCTCCTTCAATGGCCTAGTTTTCCTCATCAAAGTCAAAATATCAGAATTGGTCTGCCGGCTGTCCGTTGCTGCTTTTATCCAAATTGCCGGCCTGGTTTCGTCATATCAGGCTGCAGGGGGACTGCTCCTCACACAACTGTGCTTCCAGGCCGTGGACCCACCCAACACCCAATCTAGTACTCTGCGTGTTGTCGCTACAATCCCCTTAGCTCTCCTTTCCCTGCCTCCTGCAGAAGGACCTCGCCGGCAACGTCAAAGCGTCACACTCTTGCAAGTTTCTTGGAACTTTTTAACCACAGTTATATATTTGTGATCCGATGTGACCTTTTAAAAAAAGAACTCATCAAGTCTCTCTAAAACAAACCGTTTTTTAGCCACAGACATTGATGGTCCCCCCCAAGTCCAAGAAAGTTGCCTGTCTTGACAGGTGTCAAGAAGGTTAAAATTTGTGGTTTTAAGTAATCATTCCTCAGTGCCAGACGGTAACAACATTTCATGTTGTCAAATTTGTTTGTTCTTGACCAAATATTCACAAAGCATTCATTTTTCTCAGTGGCAGCTGTATAATATTTAAGTTGCTAACTAGCAAAAGCCAGCACGCTAACATGCTAAACTGAGATGGTGATAAACATTATTCCTGCTTAACATCAGCATGTTAGCACATGGGCGTTAGCGTTTAGCTCACACCACCGCTATTGTACACTGTAGACTCTTAGTTGACCTTTGCCCCCCTCAATTTCATGTCCATGTGTTATGTAAGGGTCACAATAATTACCAGTGAAGTGCAGGTTTTGACTCCTCCACCCCCTTAGCATCACCTATTTTGTACTCTTTGTGAGTTTTCCTTCATTCCACTTCTGTGCACATTTCACCTCACTCCATCTGCTAGATGTATAAAATGGAGAAAAAAAAATGGAAATGTGCTGCTGCTGCTCTGTACCTGCAGATCTACATGACAGCCAGCGCATTGGGGGAGCTGGCTCATCGCCACATTCATACCCTGACATTCTGCTGAGACAATGCCAATGATGTTGAGCTGCAGTCCGTGCATGGGCATCCCCGACTGTCTTATGCACACGTCCAACGCTTTGTTATTCTCGAAGAGAGACAGTTCAACGCTGCAACCCCCCCCCCCCCGCAAAAAAAAAGACACGCGCAAAGACTGGCAGGCTGAGCCCCGCGCTTGCATCGTACGTTACCTGACGACGAAGGATCGCTGCGATGTGAGGCCGCCGCCAAGCGCCGGCTGGGGTGAAAGGTCAGCGGAGAGGGTGACTCCGGCGCCCTGGAGGAGCAAGGTGACGCGGTGGGGGAGCAGCTCGGGGGTCTCAGAGGTGAAGGTGATGGAGAGGAGCTGGCCGTAGCTGTAGACTTGCTGACCCAGGAATTTCTCTGGCGGGCGATCAGAGGTTGGGTGTTAGAGAGGTGAGCGGAGTCAGCTTTATTATCCAAGTGCGCCCGGCAACTCTCTGCCAAGTGTGTGGTGGTGGAAGCTGAAGAGGAATTTGTTTTGTGCGTGTGTTCAGAAATGTTCTGCAGAGTCCTGTGTCTTTCAGACTGTGTGTGTGTGTGTGTGTGTGTGTGTTCGTCAGGGCCGAGGGTCACAGGCTTTTTGGCCTCACATGGGGGAGTCTATGTTGGATTACCTGCCCCCTCATCTCCGGCTCATTACAGCACATTTATAGAACATCAGAGATCTTAGCCACCACTCGATACACCCCCACTAAAGGAAGAAGACAAGTGGTGCTTTTGTTATATAAAAATAGATGAACGTTCTGCCGTACTTCGATACGAAGCAACGAAACGCTATTTTAGAACATATTGCACCAGTTTTGCTCTGAAAATGAAACAATCATAACAATCTTTCGAAAACAAAAACACCGCGCTGCCGTTCTCCACCCGCTCCGGGCGAGCAAGTGGGCCAGACCGACAGGTTGCACGCTCGGTTGCCGCCTTGTTTTTGAGCGTAATCGTGTGTGAAGTACATCCTGCGCTCTCCCGGGGGTTGGAGGGGCTAAGGACTTGAGTGGGTGATTTTGCCTGCAAGGTGCCCCCGGCGTCGTACGGAGCAATTGAGCTGTCTGATCGTCTGATATCTGCCCGACCAACAGCCCACTTTCCGCACAGCAGCCCACTCCCACTGTGATATTGACGGCCAGATTACTCAAGTGTTTTCACCTGACCTGCAACACTTCTGAGTAAGGCAACACATTCTCGACACAACGGAATGAGGTGTTTGGATGCCGTCAGTCACGGGCTGCTGGGTGGCGTGTTAAAGCAGGGGTCACTAATAGGGGGAGAATTGTGAGGAGCGAGACCACAGACCGGAACCAATAACGGAAAGATTTTCATACCTTCTGTTCTTCGCAGTTCGATACCAGTGTGCCTCATAATGTTTCAGAGGCCGCGGGGATTAGTAGAACCAGCGGTGTGAAGCGCCCAACGCACCCACTCACATCCAAAATGCAGGAAATTAAACAATCTAAAGGCCCAGTGTCATCAGAAGCTTCACACTTGACATTAATATGCAACGATGCTGTCAACAGAGAAGTGAATGAGGCTGGAACAAATAGTTAACAACACAAGTCCCCGCACACATTTCTCTTTTAAGAACATGACAAGAATGTATAACTGAATATAGAGCTGCCAGATAATAAAAGTATTTATTCCCTTTTTTAAAACTTTTTTACTACTAAAAAAGAGACGGTAATTTATTTATTATTTGACTATTTCTTTTTTATAATTCCCCAGTTTAACTTTTTTCAGTTAACATACAGAATAATAATACAAATGTTAGGCTATTTCAATAAAAATAGAACTAAAACATTCTGATTCCAGACCATTACATTTGTAAATTAAAGTGCATTTTAATTGAAAAGCTCTGGCATAAAGTTTCACCTTTTTTGAGTAAAAAGTAGTGCAATCATTATTTCAATTTTTCAAATTGTTTTTTAAATATTATTTCATGGTCTAATAAATTGTTTTACCAATCAAGTTGAATTTAAATTTTTCTCATGTGTTTTTTCTCTGGCTCTGCGACCAGATGCCTGCAGATTTATTGTGAAAATTGAGAAGATGACAAAGTTCTAAAGTGATGAGTAGATAACAAAGCCGACAATGCTTCAGGGCGACGCTACCTGGTTCTCTGAAAGGTTGCTGTCCAGCCGAGGAGTTCATGTTCTAACCTTTAAGCCTTTCAGTGTTCATGAAAGTTCATTTGACTCGACGGTCACTTATTAAATAGACAAGTCAGGTCACTGTTGAATCTGTGCTTTTATTCTGTAAAGAATGTTCAGTTTGGGCTTATTTCTCTCTATTTCTATCGCCTTGCGTCTGCTGCGTTTTAGGTCCACCTGCTCCACTCGTGACACCAGTGATGCATTACTGTCTCTGTTCTCTCTAATGAGCTGCAAGCTTTCACAAATAACAAAACCCGACTCAAAAAGCTGCGCTCGTTTCACATTGTTACCTGAAAGGAAATATCCTGCTGCCTCCCGCTCAGCTGTTACTTTAAGCAAATTCAATTTACTGAGAGGAAACGTGAAATGAACAACGCACCGTTATCTATATTTACCATTTAAACGCTGTGGAACCAGCATTTGTAAGGAAGCAAAAACAGGCATTGATAAAAGGGGAAAGGCTTCAATTACACAACAAATCAATAGCACTTGCTGAGTCCACTCAGGCGTCATTTATCATTTATTAGACTTCAAAATCAATCGAAAATAGATAATTACAGCCAATCAAGAGCGGGAGGAGTGGCTTACAAACCACCAATCATCCGTAGTAAATACAAAACGCTCTCTCAAGGGAAACGAGCTTCCATAAATCTCAGTGTAGTTTCAGAATCAATACTTATTGATGTTGAGGAATAAGAAAAATCAGCCTGTCGGGAAAAGAAAGGAGCGATTAAATCCATCAGCAATGAGACAGGGAAGCACTCAATGCGCCCGCTCACATCTTAACACTTTACCCAGTGGAAAAACAAACAAAATGCTCCAAATCCTTACAGACAACAAGCCACCACTTGTTGTCAAATGTCAAAATTAGAACCGCAAAACAGACTACTCGTAGTGTTAAAACGTTTTCTCAAACGCACTCCTTACTGGTTGTTGCATGCCGTCACGAGCTCCTAAAATGCTTTCGCTGACATTTATATTTGCACGGAAAAATTTACGCAGCATGTGGATTACATTCACATTTACTGATTTGGCAAAGCGTAAATAAAGAACTGACCTTTTCTGAACTGGTTGTTGGTTTTGTAATAAAAGATGGCGGCAGCTAAAATTGTCTGGCGCTCGGTTAAAAGAGAGGTGCAACATAAAGGTGTGCATCTTAGCATGTGCGGTATATTTCACATTTGATAAACTTTGGCCCCTCAACAGAATAGCACCCGGCAACAGATGATGGACAGAGAATATGCAAATTACCAGCGTTTTGGGAAGTGCTGCACTATAATAATAAGTAATATAAGCAACTTGTGTTCACAGAAGATAAAAGTCAACCGATATTACTTTTGAAATGATTAATCGGAAATACATTCTGCACATTCCTTGCAGAACAGTGGGTAATGAGCCCAGTAATGCTGCTGTGTGACTAAGCTAATATCCTTTCCTAAAGTGCTCCCTTACGGTTCTGAGTGGTTATGTTTCTGCTTGCTGGCCATTATTCTGCTGGGGTCGGATTTGCATCAGTGTGGTTCCTTGTAGTTCTTCCTTTGTCTGCGTGGACGCAGGTACCACAGCATAATTACTCATAACCCTAATAGACCATCAAAAAATGGCCGCACTCGCGGGCCCCTCACCGAAGCAATGGATCACCATAAAAAACAATAGGAGGATTAATCATGTGCAAGCGAGATCTGCTGTTCGTTTATAGCCATGGATTTATATTCAATTTTTTCTATCATATGGCAAATTGGTAAGGATTAAAAAGTTAGATATCAATCCTTTAAAGGGACGTTTCCCCAGAGTTTAATGAGAAGATTGATCCCTCTGTAATGTGAGTGGTTCAAGGTTATTATAGTTTTGAATTTTTCACTAGTTTTTATTTTTATTTAATTTTGACTTTTAGTTTTCAATTTCAGTTTAGTTTTAATTAGTTTTTAAAGCGGGTTTGCTAGTTTAGTTTTTATTTTTTGAAAATGCTTAGTTTTAGTTTAGTTTTTATTAGTTTCAGTATTAGTTTTTGTCTTAACCGCGGAATGTAACAGACCAAGTTTTTTTTTTTTAATTTTCAATTTTTAAAAGTTTGAAATTAATATAAAAATATGTTTTTTTATAAAGGCTCGTTTTTATTTTTATTTCAGTTAATGAAAAAAAAAATCACATCTTGTTTTTGTTTTTTCTTTAGTTTTCGTTAACGATAATAACCATGGACTGGTTTCAATATTTGCATCCAATTCTTCACTTCACTCATTATGTCCAAGCATCCCACAATATGCCAACGTTTTAAAATGTTTCAAATATGCATGTGACGCATGTAGGTATGTTTGCATTTATTTGGCACAGAATGGAAAGAGCCAAAGCTTTAACCTCTGCCGTTCATTGCGTGTGGGCCTTCTTTGGTTGACACTTGTCCAGGATCACATTCAGCCAGTGACTTTTGGGGAATGGCAGAAGAGCTGGCGTTCAATCAGGGGGTTTACACTTGTGCTCCAACAGAATTGAATCAACACCATTCCAATTAAACCCCAGCCGCTTAACACAAACACGAGCTCCACCGAGGCTCCAACATCGACCGACGATGCAGGCAGTCTGATAGCAAAGGTCAGATGTACAAACTTTACACTTTTAAAGAGGGCCAACCAGGAATGTCAAGCACCGGAACTCGTGTCGATACCAACACACTGCTGTTCTACAATTCTCGACCGTAAAAACTAAAACAAAGAATGCCATTTACTTTACCATTTAGAGGCTGCAAATTCATAATCGTTGGAAGTCTCAACAATCTAACAAAGAAATCCACTTTTCAGCAAAATGTACAATGCTGTCGACAGACTTTACAGACTTTAAGGCAAAGTCCTCAAGTCAAAAATCTCTCCAACCATGCCATTGATTGGTCAAGTGTTTGGAGGGTTTGAATCCCTCTCTCATCCCCTAACCCTTACCCTTTGCGTGTGCAACCGAGCGCAGCGTCACAGAGACACTGCCCAGAAAAGATTATCTGTGTCGAGACAGCAGAGTTCTCGGAGAGAGACATTGTGTGTGCAGAGGGATGCAGGCGGAGGCTGCGATGCAGGGATTCACACCGGGCCTTTGAGCGAGGCCATCTGGACCGGGCACCAACATTTTAGTCAGATGGGCTCAGACAACATGTTGCACCGCGGACGTGAAATATTCTGCCACTCAAGCGCTGCTTCACCTTCTGGGTTAGCGTACTGTCCCCCCTCCTCCTCCTCTTTCTGAATTTTTCTAATCTCCCTCCGCCGCGTCCTCTGTTTGTTTCTGTGTGCGGATGGCGAAGCCAGCGGACTGGTTTGTGTGCAGACCCGGAAGCGGGCACCGCTACGGCCGCGTGAGGCTCTTACCTCCGATTGCTCCTTGAATCAGGATGACAGGTAGCCCGGAGCTGCTTTCATGGACGCTTACCCTCTTCCACTACATCCAACACAAGAGCCGCCACACGCGCCTCTCTTGTTTCAGCCCCCCCTCCCCCCGCTTCCTCCCCTCCATCCCATTCTTTGCTTTCCTTCTCTGGACTCCCTGTTGCTTCGGGCTTAGCGGGATGTCTCGAGCTGCAGATATGAAAAGGATCCACGTTGCAGGCTCCTCAACAGATGGCTGCGAGGACTTATGTCGGATGATCGCCCCCCCCGGCCGCCCCCCTTCAGCGCAAAGCGCTGCTCGGCCCAGCAGAATGAAGTGGGGTGGGGGGCACGGTTGTTGGAGGCGGGTGACAGCGCCTGTTTAGGGAGGCACTCCCATGTTTGCTTGTGATTGTTCCTGACAGCCGTGCCCAAGCGGTCAGTCTGCCGAGTCACCGAGGGACGAGCGGATGTCAGGGATCGAGCGGAGGACGGGTGGCGCGGTGTCATGGTGTCCCCCACGTATCTGCGCGCATTCACGCGTCTTCCTGCATACATTTATTACTTTGGCACTCGGTGGACGAGTAGTGGGAAGGGAGAAAAGGAAAGAGAGAAAAAGGCAGAAGGGCTTTGATGGCCACATCGTCACCAGGAGGTCAGGAGTCTAAATAGAAATTTTCTCTCTCTTGCTTTTTTTCCCCCCTTCATACCGTCTCTCCGTCTCGTCCAACTAACTCCGGCGCCTTTGAGGGAATATCTACGACCTCTTGTCCTCTGCGGCGTCGGCGGATATTTCTGGATCCCAAACCCCCGTTCTACTCTAAGAATTCAATAAAAAAAGAGCCCGTGATTGAATCCTGTCCCCTGTGTGACAGCTGAAGCCCGAGACAAACCTCGGCGACAAATGCGTCCACGGGAACAGCAGAAATTGCATTTCGCGTGACGTTCGGCGCAGAGTTGTCACTCATATTTATCTCGTGCTTTGGAAAAGAACACAGCGGAGGGATTTCAGAACGAATACAAATTAAAAGTTAAAAGAGCAGCGGCAGTGGCAGAGAGAGGGAATTTGAGAGCTGCTTTCAAAGCCGCTGCAACTCTCCTTATAATCTTTAAAGGAACTGTACACACGCAGCACTGTGAGAGAAAAGGAGATCGTTAATAGGGATGGCGAGGAAATAGATTTGTGCATTTATTATGTGGAGAAACAACATAAACAAGCACTGCGCGCAGGAGATAAGCAGGCTGCCACAAAGCTGCTCTCGGCCGGTTGGGCCGCTAATCTGTGCGCTGTGGCCTACAGAGACGCGTGAAGAAGAGAGCAACTTTAAAAATGTGCATTTATAATTACACACATGTCTATATATATATATATATATATATATATATATATATGGTAAAGAATGCAGGAATTTATTATTGGCTTGCACATGTAAACAAACACAGTCACACAATTTCACAGGAAATCAAACGTCCGTGTCTTATGAGCGCATCTTACAATCGACGCCTGACCACCAGGCTTTGTCGCTTCGTGGCTGTAAGCGTCCCATCTTTCTAAAAAAAAGAAGCCTCCAAATGGAGTCGCTCTCTGTGATTTTGCGCGTTTCGGGCCCTAAACCTCCAGGATGCCCAGTTAATGCGCTTGCTCCTGTTTCGCTTTTTTGGCCGTAGAACGCGTCGGTTTGCCGGAGGGTCTGCGAGCTGATGCCTAGAACCGACTTAGCGGAGACAAGGAGAAACCAAGCCAATTTCCACTTTGTTGCTTCTCCAGCATGGCCAAGACATCCAATTCCATCAGGCCTCTGCTGCTGTGGGGCGGCTGATAGAAATGGGCCCTAAGTCCCGGAGCCGGGCCGGCTTATTCCCTTATCTTCTAATGGCTACGATAACGGAATGGAGGAAATGGTGTCAGAATAACTGCCACATAACCCGCTGCCAAATAACCTGATTAATCTCACTAAGGAACAACAGGAACAAGCTACAGTATTAAAGCTGCTCTCTTAACACTAATAACATTTACATATTTGCTGGAGGAGCATCAACTGGAGGATTTATTACCTAATGACATACCTTTTAACAATGCTAAAACGGCTCCCCGAGGACAGTATCCCACGCGTTTGACCCAGCCCGAGTTAATGGTCTGCCTTCATGGATGAACTCACATCTCTGTTACTTTCTGACTCACCGGGCGCTTTGTAGAAGCCGACGTCTTCCTCGGTGAGAGGCAGCAGGTAGACTTCACCTTCCTTCCACAGCAGGGTGTACTGCTGCCCCCCGGAGAACTCCCCCAGCCAGCCGTCCTGATCTGCAGACAAAAGGAGACATTTGAGAACACGAATCACAGCTTTTCTCTGCATCCCCCCCCCCACACACACACACAGCCTGGATGGATGGTCTGTACACTGGTGGTCGGAACGAGTACGTTTGAGTTCTCACTCAACATGTTATCAGATCACAACGAAAATAAAGGTGACATACAATATATGAATCATCCTGTCAGAACTGAGATGGACCTAAATCGCTAATTCCCAAACATGATGGGCAGGTAGTACACTTTATCGGCTTCCTTTTTGTGTGTGTGTGTGTGTGTTTTCTTCTGCATCTGCAGCTCGCTTGGATTCGCTTCATGTGTGTCGTCAAGCTGATTCCACTAATTAGTCTGTTTTTGTCTATTTGAATGCCTTCTCTTAACTTGCAGTGCGTTGAGCTCTAAAGTTCTCATCTGTTCTCGGTTAAAAAGGCTTTCTAAAGACAACACAAAAACAACACGTCCAATGGGTTTGTTTCACGGAGCGAAACCCACCCACTTGCCCGATCACAGCGCACACACAGCGCCGATAAGTAAAACACACACAAAAAGTAGTTAAGAGAAATTAAGACAGAGCAAATTCAGCAAGAACAAAGTAATCATCGTGGGGTCTTGTTAATTCCATCAGGGTAATTACATCCACCGGGCACGAGGGGACCTCATTAGAATCTGCTGATCTGAGGACAATACCTTCGAGGAAGTCAGAAGTGATGCTGGCGGCGGCGTAGCGATGGGAGGAGGAGCAGGCCAGCGAGTGGCCGGAGCAGAAACAGGCCTGGCATCCCGCCGGGTTCACTGGCTCAAGGTTGAAAAAGCCTGGCTTGCATCTGCAGGTGCACACACAGACGCATGAAAATGAATTGCCAATTCACAGGCTGCGCCCACGCGCGTCATTGCAGCTCTTTGCCTCATCCTCGCCGCGCTGTTATTCTCACTAATCTCTCGTTCTCGGCGCGGCGGTCGCTGGGACGGCGTTGTTAGGGAAGAAGGGACCAAATGAGGCTCAGCTTGCGAGGATCCCTGAGCTCTGACCTACAGGCACTAGCTGCCGTATGGGGGGGGGGGGGCAGGAACACCGCTACGAATCAGCCACTACACTGGTGGCATTACACAGGAGAGGGGCCTGCTCAACCAGCCGTGAAACGCTCAACAAACAGGGAGGAGAGAATTATTCAACAGTCTGCGACCGGCGGGGGGGCTTTGTGTGTGCTGCTGATGTCACGGTGGGTTTATCGGTTCTGATCCCAGAGGGCCGTGATAGAACCGGAGGGGGTTATTGACATGTTGTAGCAGTCGCGTCTCCTGTCAAAGTCGTCTCAGTGACGGACAGCCCCGAGAACCCCCCCCCCCGGAGCAGTTTTTAGACAAATTATTCCAAAGGTCCAACGCACCTGTCACAGCTCTGCCCCTCCACGTTGGGCTTGCAGGGACAATGTCCGTCGAGGGGGGAGCAGTCGTCCACGCTGCCGCCGGGGTCGCACTCGCAGGGCCTGCGGACGACGAGGGACATCGATCGGCAAAAAGGCTTTAAATCCACCGCAGCAAACACTATAACCTAACTCACACTTGGTCTGCTCTTTAGCTTGTTAGGATTACTGTTGTTCACTACTGTTAATTTATATTGCACACATTTAATTTAATTAAAACATTTTGTACAACCTGCTCAGTTTTGCACATCTCCCATTACCTCATTTTTAGCATTTTTATATGTATAAATATTTGTAATATGTAAATATTGTATTTTTATTTTTATTTTAAAATTGGTCGGCTTTCCAGAAAAAGCAAGCATAAGAATTTCAATACACAGGGGGTGTGTATTTGACAATAACATCTTTGAATTGAATTGAATTGACAAGTCAAAGATGCAGTAACCCTCCTCTTTGCTCAGCGGGGCGTCTCAAATTCAGATACCGGACACTAAGAAGCGTGATTTAGAAGACAGAAGGAAGCGGCTGTGTGAAGAAAGCAAGCGAGGCACACAGGTCCTGCGGGTCAGCGGCCACTTGGATAACACCAACATGCGTTGGGTCGCCTTCATTGATTGATTGCTTTGGTTTGAAATTGTATGTGTGTCTGCATGTGTGAGTGTGTGGGAGTGTGTACATGCACGTTAGCATGTAAGTAAGAATATATTTGTGTATTGATAGAATTTAGTGAGGATAATCCAAACTAAGATTCAGCTGTAAAATAAATGCACCCTTCTGATTTATGGATTTGTTTAGTTTAAAACTGACATATTCACCCGATATTAAAAAAAGTCTTGTTTTTGTCCGTCTTTTGGGCAGCAGAATGCGCTATAACTACAGCCCTGGAATATTATAATTGCTTAAGTTGTTATGCTGAACATATTAGCTCCAGTTTCCAACACATACAGCAATGAAACAACATTAGTATTCATTTGGGGTTGTGTTTTCTCCCACCTGGCCAATGTGAATTCAATATCTACTCCCATTTAATTTGTTTGGTTTGACAAACAGACAAATCTACAAGCTCATGTTTTATTTGCTGTGGGCCAAATGCAACATTTTGCTTAATGTAGGCGTGTTAAAGGCAATGACCGTCCAGAGGAGCGCTGCTTTCATTAAAAGAACCCGCTGCCTGCAGCTTCTGTTCGACTTTCGTTTGAAGCTATTATCAAAAATCCGCATTTATGCAAAATAGAACAATCAACTGGATTTTTCTTAAGCAGACAGATTTGGCCAAAATATACCGCTTCATAAAATCCCAGCTCATCTCTGCGGTCTTACACGTCTGTACAAGTGTGTTGTGATTGGCTGGCACTGCTGTGCAGCATAAACCCTGCAGTTCATATCGCTGCTGCCCCTGAAAACATGCCTCTGCACGCGTGACTAAATGCATCAAGTTACGTGCAGTGTTAGAGCCATATTAAAGTCCCTCATGCAACAAATATACAACATATTGTCATCTTGGGGTGCATGTGTCATCGTTTGTTGTTATTTTTACATGCTAAAAAGTCACTACAAGTCATACGTTTTATTTAGACGTCCTTTTTTTTGTACCAAAAGACATTTTAGGATGGATTTTTTTGCCCAGGTATCCATAGTTTTGAGAGAAAACGTAAACACCAAACAGCCATTGATATGCATTTCGACACCATCAGAACTTAGCATTCCCTCGGCAGAGGGAGGAGGTCAGAGACAGCTAGGATGAACTTATGAATATAAATACCGCAACATGCTTCTCATACCCACGCACACACACACATATGCACATTCATAGACGTATACACGCAGGCTCTTATGCACGAATACTCAGTCGAAGAACTCTCAGGTCAGAGAAAGTTGGAATGTGCTTTACATCATTAAAACGTCTGCAGCGGGCCGGTGCATCTTCACGCGGCAACAAAGGACCCAAAAGAATAGAAATAAGCGCCCAGACAGAGTGTGAGTGTGCAAAGCCTCGGGGGTAAATCTGTCTCATATCTTACAGATGGAAGCAGATCTTTCAATCAATTAAACCCGCTGAGCTCATTCTTGTGAAATACCGAAAGGAAATCAGAGCCAAGTACAAATATGAAAAATAAAACAATACTTCAGTAAACGTATGCATTTTGTTCTTACTCGGGACAAACCCTCAATTAATGGAAAAACATTGTTCATAGCCATCAATCTGTTAAAGATATTTTTCAAATTAGTGATTATTTCATCTCTGCAATGAACACCAGACAGTATTTCTTTAAATAAATACAATTATTTCTTGACAACCCGCTAAAAGAATTAAGTAAATGAGGCGAAGCTGGGAATTAGCTATTCCTAAGTTGAATTATTCATGATCCATAAATATCTCACTAATAACAGTTGGTGACAGTTGGAATAGTTTATGGAAGTTCGGGTCAATAAAACCAGATTAGCATTAGCATCATGTTGTGTGCACAACTAAACCCACACCGACCTGAAGCATCGTGTAGGACACCACCTTTGAAGCAAAGCAGGGGTTTTTTTTTAAGCTAGGTCTGTCCTCGGGGTTGTCTGCGGCTAAAATGCTCCTCTGAAGTTTCTCTGAAGGTGGTGAGGCTCGATGCGGTCACCATGGTAACAGGCGGAGGAGACCGCATGCTCTGTGGCTGAGGGATCTTCAAACACCAGGTCTCTTCCTCCTGTTGAGGAATCTAATCAACCAAAGTAGTGTTTGCAGGAGGAAGGAATTCATGGCAGCAGATTGCAGGAGTGGTGTTTACTGGACAAATAACGCCGGCAACCATAGGGGTTGATTGTGCGTAACATCAGCATTGTCCTACTTTCTTATAGAAGAAATGGACATTAGTTCTAGCCCGAGGACGATTTGCAGAAGTCTTCATGAAACCCGAAAGACAACTTTTTTTTCTCACAAATTCCCGTTTCCGTGAGGATAAAACGGGTTGGTTTTGCTTTTTGCAGCGGCCGTTTGTGTCGGAGCATCCTGGTAGTCGGTGACAGGAAGGTGACATAGAGAAATGAGAATGCGCTTGTTTGTGCTTTGATGCATTTGGACTCGAGGAAGTTGGATGATAAAACTGCTGAAACTGAAGATGTTGTATTCACCCCCCCACCCCTCTTCTCTCTATTATCTCCCATTCAGCCACAACGTCTGCTTTGTTTTCGTTCCCGTGTGTTCGTCTCGCTCACCTGCAGCCGCCGTGGCCGAGCGAGTGAAAGCCGGCCCGACATGCGTCACACTTCTCCCCCGTCACGCCGGCTGAACACGCACACCTTCCTTCTCCATCACACTGCAGACTCACCGAACCTGTGTGTATGTGGGTGTGGTGAGGGGGGGGCGTATATGGATCAGCAGGCAGAAAAAGAAGAAGAAGGTTACACAGAGACACGACAAAAGGGAAACAGGGAGCATTTTCAAGAAAATGGACCAAAGTACATCATAATCCTCCAGGCGAATGACATGAAATGGATCAATGTATCATTAATAATTTGCCACGACGGGGATAACGGAATACCTTTTATTGAATTCTGTTCAAAAGAGCCCTAGAAATGAGCTCGGCCGAGCAGGAGAAAACCCTGTAACCACTCTGCTGCGGACATGCTGTAGCTTTAGCTAATGGAGAAAAAAAAAGACAAGAGCAGCCGGGGATTTTTGTGGAGATGAGAAAAGCCTGATGGAGATTTCTACAACCCCTGATCCATATAATGGACTCAAACAACTGTGTCCCATCATCTGAAACTATCTAGGAAATGTTGAGGAAAAGATTGCGGATGGGTTTCTTCCATGTATTCATTTGGTTCTCTGACTTTACACTGGAGATGATGTAATTAAGAGCCCAAACATTGAATGTCCCTCCACCTAAAGTGAGACTGTTGAATGAGCACAGAGTCTGTTCACCGATAGTGTTCAGAGGCACTGGATCAACTTACAGCAGCAAGCACGGAGTCATGGATTTATTTAATGGTCATTTGGAGGCGAGGATACATCGCAAGTGATGTCCCAGACATGAGGCGAACAAGATCGTATGAATTATGAACCAGAGAGACTCTCATGCAACGTTTTTGGCGGTTGAGCAGTCCAGGTTAGCGTAATGAAATATTAATAAAGACTTTAAAAAGCATTTAGCCATAAAAATCAACAACAACTAATCCTACGAGCAGGTTAATCTTAGCTTACGCCGCCTTATTGTGCCTATGCGAGTAATGCTATTTGCACGGGTTATAAAAGAGGGTTTTTAAGTTCATCCTCGACACAACTATTGCACCTGCAGCATACCGTTGACGTTGCAGTTGCATGGCAGGCAGGGCTCCTCGGCGGACGCCCTGTAGTGGTCCTGTCTGCAGCGCTCACAATGGGGCCCGTCGGTGTTGTCTCTGCAGCTCACACAGCGCCCCCCGCTGCCGGTGCTGCGGTACTGCTCGGCGTCGAACACGCACTCGTCCGACCTCCCACTGCAGTTGCACTCTGCAGGGTGAGGCAGGGGGAGGAGACAGGGGGGAGAGAGAGGGAGAGAGACCAGAAGGGTCAAGTGAGGAGAGGACGAGGGAAGAGCAGTCACAGGGGGAGGAGGCGACGGGGTAAAAAGAGAGGGGACATAAATAGATGGATAAGGAATTAGAGACTGATATGTGTGTGTGAGGGAGATTATGTGTTCTGGGATTGGATCATAATTTAGAGGCTAATCTCATTTCACACGGGTCTAATGAGGAGCCAATCGGCTGTCAGGGGGCACTTAGATAACCGTAATTCATGTTTGTACAAGAGCAAATTACTCAGCCGATAAGGCACGATCACAGGTCTCTTACCCCGAACATCAAACCCATCCTTAGTTCACCCGCAACCCTGAGGGGGGACTTTGGTAAATTGCCTGTTTTATTATGAATCAAGCCGTCTGTTGTGCCTGCAATAACCATAGGATTATTACATCCCGTCGATAAAGAGTCTCGGCAGAGTTCACCATATTTCGGAGATTTAAAAAAAAAGGTGCGTTGAAATTAGGCACTTTTGGCTTGATGGTGAAAAACTTTTAAAGGGGTTGAAGGTGTTTCTATTTTTTCTTATTAATTGTACAACCTGACACTTGGATACAGCACAACAGGCTATAAACTCATTTCATCTTCTCACGCAGTTACTTTTGCAAACAAACGAAGAAGAAGAACAAATAAATCACACATTTTTTTTTAACTGTTATTGAACTATGGGTGACAACGTTTTTTATCCAAACAATTTTTGTGGAGCTCTGGCATTAAAAGCCCCAACCGATCACGGATATTTCCCAGCGTAGAGTGTAACAACAGAGATGCTCCGGACATCCATCCCTTCGATTCTCGCCTCCCACAATAAAATTGACGCATTCAGTGCGCGAGTGTTTACTCGTACACTCACTTAGACCATTTCACTAAAAGAAGTAAAGCTCAATGAAACACAACAATGTCACAACATTCTCCCTCAGACACACTGCCCGACGCGGATCAACGGGATGCTGCTAGTTAAAAACTTCTTTTACTGAACAAGCTCCGTTTTCTATTCCTCAGATGTGTTAAATAAATAACGCGTGTAGGTGTGGAGTTTGATAGCGCTGTCAATCAAGAAAGTGATTAAGGAATAATGGAACAAATGGCTTCTGGGGTTGATTATAGTGGTTTAATTACTTTTTTTCCAAAGGGGACATCTAAAGGGTAATTCACAGTTTGTCAGGCAAGTAGCTGAACACCGTGTACAGTGAATTTATATGAGCTTTATCCATAAAAACATCTGCCATCTGGGTCTGGGAACAGCCCCGAAGAGAGCGGCCGGCAAAGAAGTTGCCAAAAACAACCTAAAACCGTTGTGCTGATAAGCGCTAAAACACCTCGTAAAGCTGAAGGGAACTGCAGAGTCGGGTGATCAGTCTCCGTTCAGGTTCTTCACCACGAGCTGCTCCTTTCACATTAAACACGGCGACTCGACCCGGTGTTAATATAAAAACATTGACTGCCGCGGCTCGCAGCATCCGTCTTGCGATTGCCGTCGGGAGTGGGGAGTCGCCGGGGGGGGATTACGGTTTGTTAAGCTTTCGGTTTGGTTGTGCGATCTAGTGCAAACTGAGGCTGATGGTTTTGGATCATTCCCAATATGGTTGTATGACAACATTTGGGTTTGTAATAGAATAATGTACATTAACCTCTTTGGATGTGGATGCAACTTTGACCATTGTCCTCCTCTTATGTTGAATGAAGGGACGCCGAGCCATTACAGCGGCGAACAAACAGGCTTGTGCTGCAATCAGGGCACACAAGCAGACCGGCAGAGGGGAAACTGGCACGCGGCGAATCCATTAAGGCTGTTTTTACACAGACGCCACACAAAAGGATCCTTTTCACAGCCCGTTTGTCCCGCTCGACCACATTCAGGCCCGGACGCCCACAACCGTCCCCTGCACGCGCCTCCCTCGGCCCGGGCATCACTGCCACGGTGGAGGCTCCACACTCGGGATGAACACAACGGTGCACAAAGGACCTTCTCCTGTGATTGATGGAGCCACCTCTCGACCCACTGTGCGCCACGCGTTTTTGATTATTTTGATTGGATGGGATTACAATAGAAATGCTTAAGGGTAAAGCACTGTGAGGTGTTCTTTTCTCGACTACTGCACATAGACAGGTTGTAGTTTCATTTTTGGAGGAGGAGAACAAGTGGAGAAACTGAAATGTGACTTTTGCTCTTAGCTTTAAACAAGGTCTGGAATGGAAATACGTTGATAAGCGTTTTTTACAGCCTTGGTAACTAGGGGCTTTCGGCAAAATGCATCCCTGGACCCCTTATGGTAATGGTGTGCCTATAAATTATCCATAGATAAGGATTATCGGAGATGGATTTAAGGCTTAACATTAATATAATATCATTTTTGGTGGTTTTAAGCCTCAGCTTTGCTTGGCTGTGTTACACTTCAAACTTGTAAGTCATCGTTTGATTTGCAAAATGTCGTGCGCCTGTGTGCCTCTGCCAACAGTCGAGTGTCTCCAAAACGTCTGAAATTGTCGCGGGCATTTTAAAGTTTACAGGCTAAGATGTTTGTTTAATGAAGTCACAATGACCTTAACTATGACCTTTGATAACCAAACTGTAATGATTGAATCTTTGAGTCCAGGTTGACATTTGTGAAAATCCCCGGGGGACGTTCCTCCGCCGCCGCGTTGACGAACGCACCTTGACAACCCGAAAGCGCCATTAATCTGTCGGAAAAAAAGCGAACGGCACAATATCATGAAAAGATACGCGAATTGGTGAGAGGATGAAATAATAAGTGGAACCCAGATTAAGTCTGAAACCAAACTAGGAATGTTTTAAATTTGTTTTAATTTGTCATATAGGTGAAAGGAAAATGGCCGCAAACCTTAGTGGTTCATTAATACAATCAAGATTTGAGTATGAAATTCAGCAGAGGGAACCAGCTGTCTGTCAGCAGAGAGTTTGGGGCTTTCTGGAGCATAATTCCCCCCCACTCGTCACCTGCATGAGGGTTGATGCAGTTTTACCATCTTCTTGTCTTCTGCCCTTTATAGGAACACCGTCTTGGTCCTGTTGCAGAATGTATTGTGTGGAGGAACCACGGCCCCTGCAGGCACAATCGTTTCTCATTTTTACATCTAATTTGCTGGAAAAATGAGACGTCCGACTTGCCAAGAGAGCAGGACACCAGCAGTGATATGAAAGCGGCCCGTGAGGGATCACGCTGCATCGATATCCGTGTGACCTTTAGTGTTCTGCTGCAGACGAATTAGACCTCCACGTAACCCGGCGAGCCTTTGTGCGTGGGCAAAGATTATGACTTTTTTTTGGAAAAAAAACTGCATTTGCCAATAAAATCAGCCCAGTAGTCCAGAGAGTCAGCCTGGGTTAATGTCAGGGTTATTGAATAAGTCTTTCTGTTACACCTCCGGCTATTCAGTGAATACTGCAATGATTTTTCTCTCTGACCAATATTTAGTTTAAGCTCCGTTTTTTTTATTTTCAGCGCGCAGACTTCTCTTTTCAGAGTTGTCGTCACCATGAGCCAACGTCGTGTAGTCTGAGACGACATCGTCACTGCTAAAGCTGCTACAGTAATTGTAACACAGAAGTGTTACACAGAAGCGCTGTGAGTTCAGTGGATGATGTTTTAGTTTTTGCTCAAATTATTAGCTAGACTAGTTCACAAAGCAAACACAAAGCATAAAAGAGAAGCAGCTTTAAAGCTTAAATGGAATCTGTGTTATAAATGTCACTCTAAGAATAACCAGCAGGCTTAGATGATAAGCATCTGCAGTATTGTATTTTATATTCCCCAGAACATTATCATAGTCTCCCAGCTGCAACTGCAGCCTTCAACCTTGAATACGTGGCAGGGAAAGATTGAAAGTGTCTTGTTACTGGAACAGATCGATGACGCCACCGAACAACGGAAATCACGAAAGCCCCGAAAGCGACCTGCTCGGGCTGGAAAGGCTTCTGAGACCTCCGAGATTTCACCCTTCCATGCACACAACATAAACGCACACATAACCGACCCTTTGCATATTGCTCCACGCCTGCTTTTAAGACCACAAAGAAAAGAACAAGGGAAAATCAAATCGGCATCCAGTCTCCAGTTTTGATAAACAACCTCTCTACTGAGAGTGAGATTCGCAATAAAACACAGAAACACACATACGAAGCCCATCTGATGCTTCCATTTACCACCTGCCACTGCAGCTCACCATTCGATAACAGCCGCAAAGACAAATGTAATGAACGCACATGACCGTCACTACCGCTCATTCGTTAAGCTACAAATGTCTTGAAACAATTTCATACATATTTCGAACAAACAGCTATAGAAGAGGAATGAGAAGGACACGATGATGTGGTGATTCATTCGTCACTTACGCTGCTTAATTTATACTACACGTGCATCCGAACATACGCTGCCCTCAGTGAGATCAACCCCTGAATTTGGGTTCTTTTCCAGGATGTTTGTAAGTGACAAAGTTGTTGTGAGTTAAAATACTGCAACAAGACATTTTCCCCTTGTGTGTATTTTGTAAAAGTTCAAGTTTTATCATAATCAGCTTCTTGGTTCTTAGGTTCCACGGTTTTCTAAGCCCCAAAAGGTCACGAGTCTGTTATAGTTTAGTCTCCATGCTACAACATTAGTATTTATCAGCAATAAACACAATTGCGCTGTTATGAGAAAAAAAGTTATATCCACACTATTGGAGCTGTAAAAGGCTTTATATTAACTGTGGCTTATGATGACTTGTAGCATTGACATTTCCTCAGTGATTTCTTTTCATGTAAAAATAAAAATGGTCTAAACTTCACTGATATTTCCATGTTGCTTTGTAGATGTGTGTGACACTCACAAGGGCAGATGGGCTGTGCAAACATTAGGCGTAAGCAGATACATTAACAGATAGATAGCACATATTTATAGACACATGATCTTCCCGTTTGGCTTTTATTCACTTATTTCCTGCAAAGCCTGAGCTTGTTCCCTATATTTCTCCCGCTTCACACAGCAGTGCGGCCAAATCAGGTTCACACTGCGAGTGGAGCCGTTTCCAGATCAGGTGACTTAGGTACATTTTGAAGTAATGGCATGAAGCAATACAGCAGGATTCCAATTTTGAATCTAAGCTAAATCCTTTTCATATCATATAAAGACTACTGTATTTTTTTAGTAAACATATTTAGGTCATATTCAACGTCTTGGTGTATTTAGTGTAGCTAATTTCCTTGATACAAAATCACCTGCTTAACATCCGCAGCTCACATGAGAATGTGTGAATGGAGAAAGGAGAATATAAAAGGTTGGTGAGGTGAAATGAGTTTTGTGCAGCATTCTGCATTTTGTTTCCATATCGAGTGTCTTGTATATAGTGCATGTATTTATTTATTGCTACAGCGCATTGAGTAAGTTGGGTGCAGTGCTCTGTTTAAGAAGCCATCTGCTCGGAACCAAGACTAAGAGTAATTAAAACAAAATTGCTACTTAATAGAATCCTGGAAAAAAAAATGCAATTTGTGAGCTACTCTTTTATGTTTTTTGTTTTTTTTTAATCCCTCTGCCAATTACAATTCATCCTCAACAGCATTCAGCGAACGTGCTCAGTGTGATGAGCAGAAACCTGATAGCACTAAAAACGCAAATTCATACAGGAGGGACGTGAACATATGTTCCAATATCCACTGAAAACGGAAACTGAAGTATTTGAATATACATGTATACAAGATGCCAATATCTAAATTTAATAAATCCCATTTAAAAATAATGTTGTTGCTGACTGTGTGAGTGCTACAAACCCTTTCTTAGTGCCGGGCCCACCACTTATCCATGAAAGTAATCCGACGATAAAACGGGAATCAAAACAGCAAAGGCACCACGGGGAGGTAGGAGGGACTCACTGAAGGTGCCCATATGGTGTGAGGGAGGCGGGGGGTAATGAGATAACACAGCAGACTAGAAGGAACATATTTCATGTTGATCTTACAACTGAAGGATTGAGAAACGAAGAAAGAAGAGCAGAGACGTCCCTGAGGAGACAGAGGAAGCGGTTCAAACGCGGTTCCAGGCGGCTTGTAGATACACAGGGTCGTATTACAAGGGGTCCACATATGAAACCAAGGCAGGGACTGACAGAGTCAGGGATCCGTCCGCAGACCCTCTGGTTGAAGGACGACCCGGCCAGAGGAAAGGTGAGTGGCTCCATAACTCAGAGACAGGGATGTTGTCTTAGTCCCACCCTGTTTGCACTCAATATCGAACCATTTGACCAAGAGATCGATCAACGTGGACCCTTTTCGTGGATGCCGATGCCACTGTTCCAAGATCTTACAATGAATTCTTCAAATACTCAAATTCTTCTACCCAATTATGCTCCTGCACGAAAGAGGCTTAATATTAAATGTGATGCAAAATCGATGGAATACGTGTGGCTATGTGCAACGAAGCAATTCACAAGGTTGTCTGGGACCAATGATAATCACATCAACCAAAACACAAGACAGGATATAGAGAGGTGGTGCACATGAACATTAACAGTCGGATCAATGCAGCGAAAATGAGTATTTTGCCTCGGGTATTGTATTAATTTGAATCCCTGCCGATAAAAGAACCACTAAAACAGAATGGGATAAATGTATTAAAGAAGGGAAGAAAATCGTATTTGTCAAACTGATATAAAAAGCACACAACTTCTACTGCAACAAACCGGCTGGAAGAAATGTGTCCGTACAGATGCAAATGGTGCAGATATCTTTGGGAGTTCCTCTAAAGTAGAGTCGTTCTGGGCGAGAGTGAATCCGGAGGTATTACGACGTGTAATCTCCAAGTGTTCCATTTTATACCGGGGCAATATAGCTGAAGTGGTGCTGAAAGATAATGACTTGGTGGAAATCCTCCTCACAGCTGGCAGAAAACACATTACAAGAGACTGGCTCGGAAACCGTCCGCGCAGACACAGACGGCTCTTAGTTATGGTACAAGAAATATTTGAGAAAATCCCTCATTCTTTAAAAGTGAACAAAGGGCTCAACAAGAAATAGAGAAACTAGATTCAAGAAGTCTGCGCTGTGGGATTTCATGGACGATGTTTTTATAAACGTTGTAACACACAGATAAGTTTACTTTGCAGTTATACGTTTCAATTCTGTATTTATAAGCTAATAAAAAGTGTGTGTAAGTAATCATCTGCAAGCATTTTGAGTTTCCCCACATCTGGAAAGACCCACAGCTCCTCGCTGTGAACACTCGGGGGCCCAGTTGTAAAACTATAAATCACCTGGAAATGATCACCAACCAGGTAAATGATCTACCTGAGGGGGCAACGTTATCTCCAAAACCTGTTCGGAAAAATGTATACGAAAATCTTGAACATACAAATCGGTAACAATACATAGGAACTGGCGGGGGTTAACCACGCCCCTTGAGTGAACAACATGGCGGACCATGGCGGATTCTTGAGTGAACGTCTCTCCGCCATGTTGGATTTTTTGAGGGGGTTAGGGTTAGTATTCTATTCTTACAAGTTAACAACGTATAAAATGCAATCATAACACGTTTATTTTACATCGTTAGACTTCACGAAGTGTGTTTACGGGGCGCAGGTCCCCGTTCACTTTGAATAGGGTGACGTCATCAGTCGCAGTCTGTATTTATTTCGTATGTATCACTACGAATTTGTATGTTCAGAATTTTAACAAACAGTTTTTGGAGATCAGGCTAGAGGGGGGGGGGGGGGGTTTATTCGGACTACTCACTCAAACACTCGTTGGCGGAGTCCCCCGTGGCCCTGAACCAGGGTCGGTCCTGGTAGAAGGGCTGGCATCTCTGGCAGTCGTCCCCCGCTGTGTGATGCTGGCAGGAGCACACCAGGCCCCGGTGCTCCGACGCCACGCACTCGCTGGCGTGGCCATTACACTTGCATCTGTAGGGGGGGGGGGGATGGGGGAGAAGGGGAAACGCAGGCGGGTGCTTGTGTGAGGCCTAACGCACACAGCGAGCGGCGGTGGAGCCAGAGGAGAGGGCACAGAGGGGGAAGAAAAGGTACTTCCACCTTAAGGAGTTGTCGCTTCCTTATTATCTCTAACGGAGCATGATGACGGCTCGAGATGAGGGGGGGGGGGGGGGTTTAATTTACCCATCAGCCCCGGCGCTGCTCTGCTGGGCACTGTTCAGTCTGTCCGACGGAACAGACACCGTTTGTTTGTGTCAAACGCTGCCCGACATATTTACTTTAACCGTCTTCAAACTTTTTTCCCAAAAATAGATAGAAATAGAAAAATAGAAATCTCGTTGGGGATACAGGATTTATTGAGCCTTTTTTTGATTGGTTTTTCACAAGGAGAAAGCTCATTTTTCTTTCCTCGCCGCCTGCAGAAAGCCTATCATTTCCTCAGCAGCTCGCTGGCAGCTACGCCCTCCCGCGTGTAATGTTTCCTGGCAGCGTTGTCGCTTTTAGTCGAGTGGCAGCGGTAGGGGACGGGGACTTGTCTCTGAGTGGCAGGCTCTGTCAATTTAGCCAGCTGTCCTGGATCCAGACGCTTGCTCGCCCGAGGCTCAGAACCAGTTATTTCCGTTCACACAACAAGCCGGTGACTTCAAAGTGCTTCCGATCCGCACATCAAATCTTTCCGCCAGACTCGATGTGAGCCGCGCAGTCATCGCACGCTCTGTTGTAAAAAAAAAAAATGATACGTTGTTATCACGTTAAAAAGGCTCCTAAGGTCCAGCACAGTTCTTCTTCTGCAGAAGTTCAACTCGCGGTTACGGTTGGATTGATATGCTACACTAGTCACTGGGAATCTTTTATTAAAGTAGGACTGGCCGAGCCGGCGTGCAGCAGCGCCGAGGTGTGAGGGGCGTGTGCACGAGGCCGACGTGTTGGGATGTGGGTCTCTCCCCCAGGTGTTGCCGGGTAATTTGTCCTGCCGCCGCACTGATCCTAAACGATTATGACACGTGTCAGATTACATTTAGATTCCGTCTGAAGGGCTCATCTCAACTACTTAACCGTCTACTTCCATCTGAAGCTCGGCCGCGCCGCCCGGTCCCCGGCACCGCGTCTCCGGCACCGCGTCGCCTCTCATTACTTTGAGTAATAAAGCGAAAGAAGTGGAAGCGCAGTGGGGGATTTTCCAGGTTGACTCTCGCCCCGATGGCCACTTGACAGACAGCGAGGTGTCTTTTTCCAGTCTTTTTCAGTTTTGCAAACAGTTTTCCAAAAGACGGCGCGGATGGCTGGTCATGCTTGGGTCAGATACACATGTGGCGCAGAACCCTGTCCTCTATGAGCAAAGTTCACATAAGATACATTTTCAAATATATGTTTTGAACGAAAGGTAACACTGCTGGGATGATGTCATCTATAATGAGAAAAAGGACATTATATTTCAACCCTTACCTGCATGTGTTTACACTGAAAGCAGGGATACATCATTAGCACTTTGGGAAAATAGGGATTTTTCGTCATGGTCACCCACTTTGCACAACTTTGGAAACATGCATCTAGAAGATAATTCTGTGCTTTAGTGAGTTAAATGACTACATTTTTTGCACATAAAGAGAAAAAATCAACGGCTAGATTTACAAAGAGTTTGCAGTTGTAAAGAATGTTGTGCTCTGATGAATAATATTACCATAAATAAGCTGGTTGGATTCATTGAGGTGAGGCCCCGACGCCACTGACCTGCCGAAAGAGGCGGGCTCTTATTGGTTGGATTACTAACACAAGACGTTGTGGCGTTGGAAGCCAAAAATGGTAATTAAAAATAATATTGGATTTATCGCTTTACCCTCTCTGAAAAAGATTTTGGAAAAAGTCAGAGCCGACTTAAAACCCCCGACGGGACATGATGGATTGTTCTATATTCAACCAAAAGCATAATCCTTCCGGCACTTCATTTATTTCTTTAGGAGCCGCTCCAGCAATGTGTGAGACGTGGGAAAAAAAGTCCCTGCCTGCACGCTGAGGCCTCAGAATCTGTGCTTCGTATGCCTCACCACCCACCTCCGCCTCAACAGGCAGCTGTTCCGTTTCCTCCAAATCAAATCTGGCAAAGCCAAATAATATTATATAAGTGTATTTTGTAATAAACAGCTTTTGCGTTCCATCCAGTCAATTGACAGTGATGTTTTAAAAAAAAAGCTTTTTCAGGACGTGGCAGGTTGACATTATCCTGGGCGGAACGTGTGCTGGTGTCTCTTACCTGCCACCCACGGAGAAATCAGAGATGGCATAGAAGTACGAGCGCAACACTTTGGCATCCTTGAAGAACTCGTCTCCAAAGGTGTTAAGCCTGTCCAAAGAGATGAGCAGGTCAGTGGCTGTGACCCATTCCTGAAATGGACAGAACAAACAAAAAAAAGGGGTAGGGGAGGAGAAAGGACCAGTGGGGTGAGAGGCACATTGGAAAAAAAAAACATCCACTTGAGTGTACGAGGAAGCAGACAGGATGTAAGAGGAGGAAAACACACATAGAAGAAGACGTGAAATGGACAGTTGGATGAAGGAAAGGAGCCGGCGGCGATGGAGGAGCGAGCGGATGTAATGTGCATACGGTGAGTACACAGAATGAAATTAAGTCAACGTCAGAAAGAAGGGGATAAATGGAGACAAAAGCCAGAATATAAAAAAATAATAATAATGAAAAAAACATGAGAATAGAGACGACGCTGCGGCCATTCTTCAGAATAATGGATGGCACACGGCAAAGCTCCCTTCCCTGATATGATTTAAGCTGCTCTGTTTGAGCCCACTCCAAAGGTAAAGACAGGATGAAGCGCGAGCGGGAGAAGAAAGCGGAGAGGGATAACACAAACAGAGGGAAAAGCAGACGGGAAGTGCAATAGAGGGGCGCGAGATGAAAGCGAGGCCAGGTAGAGGGAGAACAAATGACATGAGGAATTCTCTTTCTCCAGAACAGAACTAACTTTAAAGCAAATAGCTGAAGAGAAACTTTCTGTCTTCTTTTCTCCGGCTGTATCGGGACTCCGGGGTTATGAGGCCCTACGTTTTTGAAGCTTCTCCCAGCGGCCTCTTTGAAGTGTGGCAATGGGGGGTGTGTCGGGGGGGGGATTGGAGAGGACGGGCCTCAGACTTAGAAACACATGTGATGAGTTCATCCGCTCATGTTCTTCTCAACCGCTACAGCTCGGCTTTGGAGTGTTCGGAGCCCACAGCACTGTTTATTTTTCCTATTTAAGCCTATTAAATGATGGAAAGTACATATTCTGTTACCGTTATATCATTTCGGTTAAATCAACTGCGCCGTGTAAAGTGTACCGTGCACCATTGCGTTACCATGGCAACAACAGGGTCCTCGGGGGAACACGTTCAGACAATCAAGTTCTCCAGAGGATAAATCCCAATCGCTTGTTTGTGATCCCCCAAAATGTCAACAGGCGCCACCGTCGGGTCATCAGAGGACGGTGCACATGGCCAGATGTCTACTCCACGGATCAGGTGACTGGTTCAAGCGTCAGCAGAGAACCATTGTGACAACATATAGAGCATTTAGAGATACTCCAACACTGAGATAACTGAACGTGATTTGGCAGCCCACTCGGATGGGTCATGTGCTGGATTAAGATGACCTTAGGGGGTAATGAGGAGTCGACTTTTGTGGATTACTCATCTCAAGCAAGTTTTAAATGTCTTAATAGAAAGCTAATTCCAGTATCACTTTGGCCCTCCGAGGCTCAACAATACCTCACGTGATCACTCTCAGGTAAAAATAGCACTGTAGTCAAAGTTAAGGACAAAGTTCTCTTTAAAAAAAACGTCTTCTGTCAGCCCGACTACCATCCTCGCGTTTCAAAGTAAAGGGCCCTGGGATTCAGCCCTCCTGCTGGGTCACCGCCTGCAGTCCCAAACTGGGCCATCAAGAGGTCGTAGCTCATTCCTCAAACATCTGGTGTGAATATGTCACCCATGTGTTCCTGATTGTTTGAGCCTGGCATCAATGGTGTCGGCATTGTCAGTAAATAGTAAATTGCGATCGGCGGCGGAGCTTACAAATCCCCATCAAGTCATTTTACCACAAGAGGGTATTATTTTTAAAATGCCCTTTCGCTCTCCCCTGTATCCCGTGTCTTCCCCCCTCCCGCTCTCTCTATCTTTGACTCTATCTTTGCTCTCTTCCGCTATCTAAAGCGCTCTTCAGGATTTCCAGACACCTCTGTGCCGTAGCCGCCTATCGAGGGCCACGGAGCTTTTATTTTGTAGTAACTGCAGTGTTGCAGAAAGATGGCTGGCGTGATATTGTTCCAGCCGTGGCTTATCGACTTTGCCCCTGCTTGACATGGTTCCACATGGCTAATGGGGTTTGGGAGACTGTGAATGACCCCGATACTCTGCAGAGAGGAAAGTGATGCTGATTCTGTTTTACACCACCTGGACTTTACATGCTTTTCATCCACGGTGTATGAGTGAGCTATGGGATCTGGGACGGGCAACTGAACCGCCCTTCACACCTCGCCGCTGCTATAAGGCGGCATGTTCATGTAAAGCAAAGGGCAGAGAGGCTGAGAACATGGAGAGGCAATGTGTTTTGGTTTAATCTTACAAAAGAAACGAGGGGTCAGAACAAGTGATTGCAAAAGAGGGACAGGAAATATTTCTCGGCCATATCCTTAAAAAACATGAATTCTCTTTGATTAATAATTGTCTCTATCTTGTCATCTAATGCCGGGTTATCTCTGGCATGAAGTAATCATAGTTTATTATAATGTTCTGATAATGATAATACATGCCCTTTGCACTGATTGAGGCTTTCAATCAATAAAGGCAACGTGAATGGAAACAGGTAGCTGCGAGAAACAGAATATGTTAAAAATGAATAGTTGCCAAACGCGCAAAAAATACACAAAACACACTTACACAGTGCACAGTAGTTAATATGCACACATTTTGCACCAAATCAGCACCTTTCTATGAGCCTCGTTGCAAATGCATACCAAGTCATACCAAAGATCAACAGCAATAGCCACACGCATTACGGCAATTTATTAGCGTCTTTAGAGGGTTGTTGGTATTTGAAGCGCATTTAGTCAACAAGGACGCCGTTACGTAATGCAATGACAGCGTGCAAATAAATGAATCAAGCCCCCCAAAAGTACGAACAATAAGGTTATCCAAAGTCCAGGGATTAGTGTTCGTCCTACCTCTCTGTTAATTGCGTCTAGGAGATTTTGATGAAAATGTCTCTCTGGCAAGCCACAAAAAAGAGCCTCCGTTGAAGTTTTATGGAATTCTACCTTAAAGGAAAATGTAATATTTCCCAAAATAACGAGGGAAAGTCGCCCTGGACGTGACCTGACCTTTTGTAAAATCATAAAAAAAGAAGAGATTTGCATAAACTGCTGATCATTACTGATAACGATCATGATATCACACTCTCTCCTCTAATAACGAGAGAGAAGTCAGCCTTTTCTATTGTGTCCCACATAACACAAGCAGGGACAATAATGTCCTTTAAACGCATTTTAAAGTTCTCACTTACAGGAATATAAAAGCAAATACTCTCTTCATTCATCACAGCCTACGAGGCCATTATCATATGGAGGAGTTGTTAGCTATGCTCGGTGGAACAGTGCTAACTACGTGCGGGGAAGTACACGTTGTTCCAAATTGCACTGCACTGAAAGCAAGCACTTTCTTAGGGTTAATTAGTAGTCAACCCATTACATATTATTTCTGCAAACCGCAGCGAAAGCTTAATTAACTTTGATTCTCACTCCCTCGGAGTGTGTGCCCACAGTGGCGCAGTGATGCTGACGTAGCATGGCCGAGGCCTGGCGAGTGGCACCGAGCCAGTCCCTTGCTTCAGACAACAACGGTCTAATGATCAGACGAGCGCACGCACAGCGACGTGCACGCGGCTTATTTTTCGGACGATATCAAGCGCGCAAGTTTTTTCCGCTCAGCGGCTCCCGACCTTCACCTGTTCCATCGCTCTCGTCTCCCGTCCAGTCAGTTTTTTTCCCCCCTTCTCTTCCCTTCTCTCGCGTCCTTCAGTCAGTGTCCTTGAACTCTGAAGCCTCTGGCTGCAGGCATTGACGGAAAAGAGAGCAGTGTCCCTCATTCGCAAGTTAATAACTTTTTAATTGAATTGCTTACGTTCACTCTGGCCTCAATATGTTTTTCTTTTTTTTTTTATCTCGTTGTCATTCAACGCCAGAGCTCCAATTTGCCACACTGCTTTTCTAGAGAGAAGAGGGAGATGGAAATGTGTGGTGGGGGGAATGGGGGGGGGTCTTGGACTGGTGGCTGAAGAGGCGCAAACCGCTTTAATGGGTGACTGAACAAATTAAATTACAATTGAAAAAGCAGCTTTCATCCTGTGCATTATTATTGGGAAAAAAAGAGAGCTTTACAAACTGGACAACACAGCCCACTTTCCAGTAAGCCATTACCTCGGAGCAAAAACATTTAAATGCTACATGCTACAAGGTCAGCGTTGTTTATTCCAAAGTAAAAGCCTTTGGCAACGCAAACGCGGCACATTAGACGGCTGGTGCGACAGATAACACTGTTCAGGTGACTTGTACATAAGAAAAAAACCCACCTGTGTCACATCATGTTTGTTCTTCTTTCAATGTAATGTTGCCCCGACCCCTCAAAATGACAAGGAGATCTATTTTAAAAGCAGCAGATGAAGCTTGTGAAGTCTCTACACTGAAACTAAGCGCTCTTCAGACTGAGGCGCAAGCGTTAAATCTGCAAAGGGATTAAAATGCTAATAAAACAGGCGGAATGCAATTCCTGTTTTAAGCCTCATGCAATATGCATGCTTCTGTATGAGCCATATGCAGAGGGGCGAGGAACAGGGATCATTTTATGCTCGGTAGAGAATGTTTACGTAGAGGCTATGATTTCAAACACAAATGCCAAATCTCTAACTGCCACCAAGAAAATAAAGGAATTCATTATCTGCTATTTCGTCTCTCAGAGAAGTCCGTATTTACTGCAGCATCCATTTATGACTCATTTTTAAATGCATCGCTGTCTGCGGTCGACGGCGTCCGTCAGACGGATGAAATGTGGTCGGCTCGGGCCTCTTTTGCACCTCCGGGGTAATGCTTGTACCGCATTAGCTGTATAACTGCTCACTTCAATTACAGAATTGCTCCAAACAATGCTGGAAATAATGGACAGTGAGTGCTTTGAGCACTTCCTCTGATTGCAATAACTTAATAAAAGACTCATTTTGCCTGATAAACACAAAAGGCCTTTGTTTTTTAGCAGCTAATCAGCGATTACAATCACAGCGTTGACATTTCTCTTACTTCTCTTCTGCTCAATATTGTTATGAGCATACGAATGTTCTGCCAGCGACT